TTTGTTAACCATAATTCTATAAGTTACAGCTTGTGAGCAGCTGTCAGTACTTCTCTTGTCTTACAAAGTGTTATGTTGATCTTAAGAGTGAAAAGAATGTTGTAGGGGTTCTGCTGTATTGAGCACTGAGTTCTGTGCCACATTTACATGCTTTCTTTTTTTTTTTTTTTTTTTTTGTATTTCTTCCTCAACAGGGAGGTTAAAGGATCTAAAGAAAAAGTAATCAGTGATAAAGATCTTGAGTTACTCTTGGATAGAAGCGATCTTATTGGTAAGTCAAAATTCTCATCTATGTTAGACAATGAGTTCCTGGTTTTGTGTTGTTTTTTTTAATGAACTTTATATCTAGAAAACTGTTGCAGCTTCACTTCCCTATGATTGTGTTGTATATGTGAAGACATGCTTTTAGTCCTTTGCTGACATTGCCAGTAGGATCTGCTGAGGATGATTTAAGCAGAAGTATTCCAGAGAAATTCATTCGTGCGTAGTATTCCCTGAGCATAGTGTGAAGGAAAACCAGATGCTCTGCAAAGCAACTTTTCCTGCAAGTTGCTGAAATCGGTCAAAACGTAAATCATCCTCAGAAAAGGATTTCAGCAAATCAACTGGAAAATCATAACTGAAAATATAGTCTGACAGTGCTTTTTAAAATTATGTTGCACTTCCAGTGGATACCTGTGAATGCAAACATTAGGAAAGCCTAGACCATTGCATTTTAGAAAAGAATTTAGTGAAGCTCCTGAGAGAAGCTGTATAGTTTCTTGAATTCTGTTTTCTTCTACAGAAGATAGGACTTCAGAGAAAGATTCTAAAACTGCTCATTTCCCACTGTTTTTAGATATACAGTGGAGTTTTTTCTTAAAGCACACAAATGGAAAATATTTTCAAGCATGAACTTCAGTTGCTGACTGTTTAGGAAATAGCAGAATGATGTTCCTGATGATAGACTTGTTTTCCAAATGCAGATGAAAGAAATCCAGATGAAAGAAGAGTGCATTGAACTTTTTACTCTGCATTACTGTACTTGTAAAGAAAGGTTGCAAACAATTCACCTATCACTGTTGTGGGTTTTTTTTTTTTATTCTAGATCAAATGAAAACTTCTGAAACAAATAAAAAGGAAAAAATGGGTGTCTTCAAGGTCCTAGAAGAATCACCAGGTTCCAATGCAGAATGTGTCTTTTAAAAGTGCAGGTGGCCTGTAGTCTTATAGGACAAACATGGGACATCTGTAAGAGACCAGTTTCAGTCATTACACGGACTGATCCTTCACGCTAATTCTTTATGGCCATTTTTCAAACCCCTCTGTTCTTTCAGTGAAATTTCTGCGTTCTAAGGTGTAACATTTGATAGGTTCATGTTTGTAGCTTTGTTAGCCTATGATAAAGAATTGAAAAGACGAGCATTTCACGTTTTCAGTTAGCTTTTGTGTTCAGTGGTAAAAACTGGCCAAGTTGTGTAAAATCTTCCTGTGGAAGTCCTAAAACACTTTTTTATATGGTGTTGAATATGATTTTATTGGGAAGGGAAAGAACATGTTGCAAAGAACTGTTACCTCTTGGTTCTTGTCATTTTTTGTAATTTCTGCAAATTATTTTGATAAATAAATGTTTGGATTGTCTTAAGGGTTTCCTGGCTGGGGTTTATAAATAAGCACAGCTTGCATGATGTCCATTATTCTTTCTGCACTCGTGTAACCCAACTTCACACATATAAAAGAAATCCCAAGCTGCAGCCTTTTCTGGTGTAGAGGTCAGTTCTCTAGTGTCTGGCTTGTCAGCTTGCACAGCCAGCATGCCCCTTCAGAAGCACATAGGGGGAGCTATGGGGACTGGAAAGGGAAAATGGAGATTTCTGTCTAGGGAGTACATTCGGGGGAGAGTTTGAAACTTCAGTGAGTGCAGGTAAATAGATACATTATGCAAAATCCAAATCACTTGGAAGCTTGGTTTTATTCCACAGGTGACAGGAGTGGAAGTAGATAACAAAGCAGGCAAGGTATTTAATTTAGTCACTTTGTGAACATTTGTAGAAGACGTCTTCTATATAAAAACAGGTTCAGTGTCAAAGGAGTGTTACTTTCTTGCAGGTATGAAATTCTTGCTGTCCTTAGAGCAGTCTGTTACCTTGAGTTGGAGAAAGTCATTTTATATTAGTGGCAGATCCTTATGGAAGTATGGGTAAACAAAACTCTGTTAATGAGTAGACTGACTTTGACCTTTGCCTACTGAAAGCCTTGTCTTGCTTCTAATTCTTCCTAAAAAGGCGTAGACTAGCATTAATGCTGAGGGTAGCGTAAGTGAATGAGAGTTGCTGTTCAGTAATGTGTTAGTGAGAGAGATTTGCTTTGTAGAGCTATGGTTCAAACAAATCAACCCACTTTCAGAAGGTGAAAACAGTGCAAGTTTTGCACTTACTGCTATAGTTGAATGTAATGCTTGTTGGTTAAAGCAAACAGTATCTTCTTGTCATGACCTTGCATTTCTTAATCCTCCAGTGAAGGGTAGTTTTCTTACTTGTTATCCCTCTGAACTATGAAAGGACAGTCCTCCCTGAACTTCACAGAAGGCCAGAGTTTGTGCACTTAATGTCTAAAAGCAAAGTTGGAGGCCTTTTCTGGTGTTTTGGAAAGTGGCCTCATTTTTCACAGGTGCAGAAGTAGATTTGGGACTGAGAATGTAAGGATTCTTAGGCAAGGGTGGGGGCTGATTAAGGCTAACAGTTTTAAATTGTTTTGGAGGAAGTAATGACCACCAGCAGGAAAACTGCTTTAGCTTGATGGACAAATGCTTGAAACATAGACTTGGAAGCTGTGCTCCTTGTCACATGCTGCGCCTAAACACACTCAGCTATTGTTCCTCCACTGAAGTGGTGGGGGAATGCTGGAGTTGTTAAGACCAAATGCAGGGGCAGAGGGTTGGGACCTCAGTACACTTCTCAGTATGGTGTGTCCATATGCAGAATTTAGGCCATGTCCATGAGGAGCAGCAAGGCACAAGCACCACCTGCTGCACCAGGAGAAAGGGCAGTGGCAGGGAGAGGACATAACCAAAATCCCAAGTAAGTCTGTGTTAAAAGTGAGTCTGCTTTGAGCCAAGCTGCACACCCATGTGAGCCAGGCCCTCTTTGGGAGGATGCTTGCTGAAACTGCCCTCACTCTCTTCAACTGGATGAGTGAAAGTTTCTTATTTCAAACTTAGTTTTTTTTATCCTTCCTGAGTAGGCAGTTGAGCATTGTTGTGGACTTGACCCCACTTTTCCTCGTTTCTCATTGTTAACAAGCCTCAGATGCCAATTGCTAAACTCAAGGGGAATTTGTCAATTACAGTCAAAACTGCAGTTGCCAAATACTCTTTGCTTTGTAAAAAGCTAATGTGTTCCTTTTTTTTCAGTAAGCTGCAACAGTCAGAGCAAAGTCCTCCCTGAGCAATGAATGCAAATTGCCTTGGCGCGCCTGTTCCCATAGTAATAAATTGGCTCAACACTGGTATCTGCATTGGAAGCCTCCACTTCCAGCACTGGGCCACAAACCTTTTGTAGTTCCCGGCTACTGCGTCAAGACCCCCACAATCAGTGTTTTCCCAGCAGTACTGCCAGCTCCCACTGCAGGAGCTTGACTGGGTGATAAAGGGGCCGAGACAAAGTGAAACTTGTCTGTTTACAGCGAGGAGTTGGGGCTGGGGAAATACCAAGCGTGGCTCAGGCTCTTCTGTCCTGGCCCATTGATGCAAGAGCTGAAGTTGGCTACATTTTGTTGGTGGGCGTTCTACAGTGTGGAAAGTTTTCGTGATTGCACCAGGCCCCAGTTCTTGGTGTCATTGCAACACAGATAGAGCATTGGGGCCAGCATTTCCTCCCTGCTCTACAAATACAGGTGGTGAGGGGCCAGGAGCCCACTGAGAAAGTAGGGAGTGTGCAGTGTCTGGAGCAATCGCAGCTGGACAGCCCCAGTTACTACAGGGAGGGGGAATTGCTGCCAGGTACTGCAGGGTTAGACAGTGGATCAGAGGCTCCTCCCTGCACTGGCAGAAGTTAATTGAACACTCAAATGGCCTTGAAAAGTAACATGTATTTCACAGAGAGATAAGAGGTTTGTGATTGCCTTTTTTTTTTTTATAACCCCAAAACAACCGTCTGTATGACAAACCCTTCCTGACCCACTGAAATCTGTTGCCCAAAGCCTTCCGTGGGACCTGAGCCAAACTCCTGTGCTCTTACCAAACCCGTGACCAGCATATTCTTAGTGAACATGAGGGTGATGCCCTGCTCTTACCTGCCAACAGCATCTAGGAGGGCGATGCTATGACTGACCAGGCTCCAGCCCAGCCTGCAGGTACTGGATAGTGCTGCAGCAGAGAGATTATCACCCTGGGAAAACATGTTGAGGGGGGGGTAGTAGAATCAGTGAGAAGGGGGGTATCATACAAGCAGGGCCGGAAAAAAAAAAAAAAAATTACACTCTCACTTTAAAAATAAAACTGCCTGCAGCAGGAGCTGGAAGGTGTATGTATGTGTGCATGTGAGTGGCCTGAGCAAGCTGAGCTGAGCAAGGCTGAGCAAGTAGAGATGAGCTAGACAAGAATGCCAGCTGAGCTACTGTAATAGCACTCTCTTGTTCATAGAAGGAGCTGAGAAGAGGGGCTAAATACAGTTAGGTTTGTGCATTATTCCTGTTCTTATTCCAGCCCACCTAAAAGCTGTACAGCGGGAGACAGACTTAAGCATTAGCTCAGCCTTACTCCCAGTGAGATTTGGGATGTTTTAAGGGATTGTTTATTCATTTCTGGAAAGGCAGCAGCCACGATGCCTGCAGAGGGAAGCAATATAGCTGTGGGGTCCCATGGGATCTGGCCTTTGCCCCATCCCAGCCTGCAATCACTGCTTGTTGCCTGAGACCACTGTGTGCTACTTGGTGATTCCGTCCTGCTGCTCTCCAGGGCAGCACCACCACACACAGGGGACCCAGAAGCCCCAGTCAAGGAGAAAGTGGACACTTGCCTGTTGGAGTCACCCTATTTATTGAATGTGAACAGAAAGCAAACAACTGGGATACAGGTGAGCTGTGATCTGACTTTGGCCTCTGCCATGCCTGGGCACTTGGCAGCACAAGGAAGGGAAAAAATAATAATCTGTGTATTAAAAAAAAAAAAAAAAAAAGAGAGAAACAACAGTGAAAGACAAAAGAATGTTGAATGATTAGTGACACCTTGTGTGTGCAGACGGAACTTTCACGCGGCAAGGAAATTCAAAGCCGTGTCTAGCATTCCTTATTGCAAAGGAGAGTCGGCAAGGGGCAGGGCAACACTTTCCCAGAAGAGCAGCAGAAGAGGAACGATCCACGCTGACCCCACTGCAGCACAGGCTACTTAGGGAAGACAGTGACCACCTCGTAGCCTTCTGGGGGCACCACTCGCTCCCGTGCGTGCTTCTCACAGTAGATTTGATCTTCCACGAAGAAATGTCCTTTCTGCTTGAGGTTGGTGCCGCAGTCACTGCACACGTAGCACTCAGGGTGACGCTGCTTGTCCCGAATCTTCACAAACACCCCTCTGGGGAAGGAACCAGCACTCAGCACCAGCTGTCTGCCAATACAGCCCCCAGTCTAGCATCTCACCATCCCCCCTCCACCTCAGTCTCCCCCTGGTGGACCATTTCCCCTCAACGTAGGTCTCACCTCTGCCCAGGTGCTGACAGCACAGAAGAGCAATGGGAAGCCTCCTCTGGAAAGCATGTTCTAGCAAGGACCTCAATTCCAGAGGGACAGGTCCCAGTGCTTGTGCTGGCAAGAAGCACTGCAATAGCAGCAATAGGCAAAAGCAGAAGGCAGGTAACAGCCTTCAAACACCCAGGGAGAAAAAACAGGATCAGCTTGACCATCAGGGGGGGTGCAAGCTCCAGGTATGCCCCAAACAACCAAGTTTTAGACCACATGTGGAAGTGACTGCCACCACCAACAGAGAGGCACAGCCAGCCACTGCCCTCTGCTAAGGACTGCCTGCTCAGAGCAGGGGCACAAGCCAACCAGATCCTGACTGGTCTCAGACTCGCTGTCCCACTCAGCATGGACAAGCTCTGGCTTCCCAGACTGATCCAACAAATCTAAGAAGAACTACACAGCAACTTGCAAACTACCAGCAACAGCAGCACAAGTTGCCAGCAGCATTTGTTCCATCAGCCATTTATGTTTTTCATCATTCTTTACTTTTTAAAGCTAGTCATAGTCCTGTGCTTTCACTCCAACTGTACGTGGCTGGCACAGTAATTATATGATTTGTCTCTGATTCACATTTATAGCCTATGGATTGCTTCTGCAACAACTCTGATAGTCCTTGGAGATGGAGGCATGCCAGGCCCATGCAACTGCAGTGTGCTCGGTCTCACAGTAGCACAACACTGCACCTGACAAAGCTGAACTCCTCCCTAACAATGCAGATGGGCATCCAGCATTCACCCCTTGGAGCTAAGTAGGTTGCAGTAAGTGAAGGCTAAGTAGGAAATGAGAGCAGAGGAAAATGTGGCTGAAAACCTAGAGAGTATATCAGAGATAGAGGTTGGTTGTGCTGCCACAGCAGCTCTGTATCTAGCTCTTGCTGTGCTAGAAGTCAGACATACCCCACAAAACCAACAAAAATTAACTGCATAGATCCACTGGGAGATGTGTGGTACTGCGTTGGCACAGGAGCAGAAGGCAGCTCTCCAAGATCACTGCATCCAGCTGCCAGGGCAGGACACCGCTCCATGGCTGGGAGCAATAGGACATGAAAATCATTAAACACATTGGCCTCAAATGGAAAGTTCACTTTACCTCTAAGTGATATTAACAGATTTCTGGTAGGAAGCAAAACAACAGCACTGAGGCTGTCTCAAAGGGATTTGCTTTGACATGGAACAGTAGAGGGAAACCCAATTCCTGCCTCGCTGCCGAATTTACAGGGTGAGCACTACCAAAGCTGGTGAGAACACACATGCTGGGCTGGACCTTGGGTGCACAGGCACAGGTTGCTTGCCCTGGGGACAGGCTTACTTACACAATGCCAGATCCACACTTGTCACACATGGGCAGCTTCTGGGCATTCCCAATCGATGAGGCCACCTTTGTGGTGGGAGCCTTGACGCTCCTAAATCCAGATGGTTTGCTGGGATCTCCTGGGGGTGGAAGGAGAGTGCTTCAGAGCATGTGAGATGCGTGACTCCAGGCTTCTCCCAAGCAGATGCTCTGCTAGGGAGGGGTGATGTCCTTCAACATCAGCTTTGAGGCAAAAATTCATGCATGGGAAGGAGGAAGGGACTTAGGGTGTGCAGGGAGGAGTGTGAGAAGGGACACAGCTGATCCTGGCTCTGGAAACCCAGGGCCTGAGACAGTGGGCCCTAAGATGAGATACTGCCCTTTCTCATCTTAAAAGCCCATCAGATATTGGCTAACACATCTCGCATGCACAGAGATTCGAAGCAAAAGCAAAGTCTCAGCCTCAGAAGCATCAGAGCCTGCTTGCCGTGTTCTGAGCACACACTCAAGCCGATGGCTAGATTTGGGTTCAGAAAGAGGAAGTGGGTGTCCCAGCAGTCAATAAGGCCTTCAAAGCCTTTTCCTCTCCGCTGTCTGGTGTAGAGTGTTGTGCTCCCCTCACAGCTCCTTGGTTAACTCCTTGTTGCAGGGATATGGAGCACGTGGCACACTCCAGGGGTGAAAGTACCTCCCAATTGCAGGACTTTCAAAGGAGACATCTGGATGCCTACAAAAGTAGCAGATCCTAGATGCTGGATAGGAGGCAAGCCTTTAAATATCTGCAGTCAAAAGGAAGCCTCTAACAAAACGATACCATTGATACAACTAGCATTATCTACGTGACTTTCACCTGTACCAGGCAAGAGCGGAAGAAGGGATGCAGATTCCCACGATGTCACAAAAGGACAGAGGAGGCTGTTGAGCAGACATGTCAGCCTCTGCCAGTGAAGTGGCGCAAAACCCTTCTGACTATTGCCAAGCCAAAGTACACCCACCGATCCTTTTGGAGTGGAAGAAGAATCCTGGAGAGGCTCACCCCAGTGAACAGCAAGGTCTGAGATATTACACAACCCAGGGCAGCACCACTGGCAGAGAATCAAGGGAAAAAGCTGGGGCACTGCCCACCCCACCTCACTATCACCCAGCCTAAGTGCCACCGCACTGCCTTAACAGCCACAAAGAGTGCACCCCAGGTTGCACTTACAGCTGTTTCTCCTACACAGCAGCATTTGGCTCAGGGGCTTGCACTAGCTCAGTGCTGAGTGTGAGGTGCCCTAATGGGGACAGAAGCCCGTGGACCCTTCAATCACACCAGGAGGCACCTGGCTGCTACCCCCATCGCTGGCAGTGATCCTTGCTGAGAAGGAAGAAGCAACCACATTTTCAGGTTCTACCCTATCCCCCTGCTTGCTCCTTCTGCTTTGAACAGCACTTTGTCCACATTAGTAACACTCATGGCACATTTTTCAATCTCTAAAGGAATCAGCTTAACAAAATGCCCGAGGAAACATAACTTGTTCCACTCTGAAACACCCTAAGCCTCAGCATGCAGGCTCAAGTCTAAACAGAGAGCAGCCATGATGCTTCCCCACACCAGCAGCAACACACAGACCCCATCCTTTCAGCTGGCGTGGAGCAGCATAGTCCATGCCTCTGGCAACACCCCAGGGACTGGTCCCGGCTGGGAGATGACAGCTCCCTGCTGCTGCTCACAAGCCAATGCCTGAAGACAAGCTCAGAGGAGCATCCCACAAAAGGTGTCACTTACTGCCAAGGATGCTATCTCAGCCAGGAACAGTAGTGTGTGAGCCAGGGCACCATCTCCTCTGGGGCTGCATAACCTTGCTCTGCATGGGTGATTACAGCTCACAGCAGAGCAATACCCAAGCCTATCCTGGCCTGTGATCAAGCAGGCAAACCTCATGCCAGAGAATCCCAGTAATGCTGCAAATCTTCAAAGACTGATAAACTAGAGAGGCTTTTGCTTATCTTCTTCAGCACTACTAAGCACAGAGGGGGACCTTGGATGCGTGAGAAGTCCTGGCTCCTCCAGTCCCTTCCACACAGGAGTTGAACCCTGGGAGGTAAGCTGCAAACACTCATTATTAAGATCCTTTCAGATAGAAATTTTAACAGTAAAGACTCAAAAATCCTATTTTCTCTTTTCCTATTGTTTCCTTACTTCCTTCATTTTACTGTTCCCTTACAGATCACTTAGGTCTAACAGCATTTGGCTGAGCTGTTTTCCTTTCTGATATCTCAGCACCACGCTTTTGTTGGATGAAATTGAATACTCTACTGCAAGCCAATAACACAACAGATGAAGTCTCAACTGGTTTAAGAGGGGGGAAAAAAAACGCTCATTCCTGGAATTCTTTCCCTAATTATTTGTTTATTTTACTCTATTTAAAGGGAGAAGGGAGTATGATTTGGCTCCCACCTAAGTTAATCAGAGTTTTTATCTAGAAGTCTATAGCCTTGAACTACATGCTGTCCAGATGTCAGATTAAGAGTGCCAAGCAGCACAAGATTTTCACAGGTCTAAAACTGCAAACTGATTGCTGTAACCTTGCTTCCAAATTTTTTATATTCAGTTGCAGAAGATCCTTTTTTCTCCTGTCAAAGGATGGCACCCAGAAACATTAAGATTCACTAAAGAATACTATCTTGTATTACCTGTTGTCATAAATCTAAGATGGTCCTTAAATTGGTGAATATTTTCCAATAGGGGCAAAACTTGGGACAGTCTGGAAGGCTTTTGCAACTTCTAGAATTCCTTAAGAACTAAATGCAGTAGGGTTTTATTTCTTGAGCATTCAGTCAATGAATGAGTAACAATATGTGCCCACAGACATCAAAACTAGCTGCAGAGAAGAAATTTAAGAGTAACGTCAGTGAAAGGGACCACAGTTGTTGTGGAAGTCACCTGTACATACTACTTCGAAGAAACAACAGCTAAGGAAGGAGAAGAAAGTTTGAGACATTACTCTGAGCCACCATACACAGACCAAGGAATGGCTGAAAGGAAGGGTGCACCCAGGCTGGGTGCTCAGGAGGGCTTACCTTTCTCCTCTGACTCCAAAATCTCCTGCAGCACTAGGAAGGAAGCAGACTGCCTGGGTGGCTCATGCGATTCTTGGTTCTCCTGGAGCATCTTGTAAACCTCAGAGTCTCTGTCTATGGCAATGCTGCCTGAGGGATGGCTGTGCTGATCTAAACTGAGGAAGGAAGAGAAAACACACTTGTTCAATGGCTAAACACTACAGCCAGTCCCTCTAGCAAAACCATCGCAATGCATCATGTGACTGAGAGACGAACGTGCAAACAAAGGCAGAACAGGATGCCATGAGACACAGAGGTGCCGGATGTGCTCGCAGAAGACAGCTGCAGCCCCCAGGACTGAGGTGCTGGGCCACCCATGCACTCTGCTGTCATCAGGTTCTCACTCACCATCCCTGGCCAGCCCCAGCGCATTCCCTCTGCTTCCCAATTGCTGCTTACTCCAGAAACTGTCTTACTGTCCAGGAACCAGGAAATAACACATGCTGGGACAGGAGTCCCACATAGTAGCTTTGCCACCACTGTGCAGTCTCCACACACCTAAACCACCTGAGACTGCTACCTTACACTGCCGTGACTCTCAAATTCAATAAATTTTATTTCTTAGAAAAATATGCATCTTTGCAAGCACGTTATGAAGTGGTAGTGAAAGCCACCTTCACTCAGTAACAGCTGCAGGATCCAGATAAAGGATCCTCTGTTTGGAAATAGTTGGAAATAGTGTTTCAAGTGGGCATTATGTCCACTCCTGGCCCAAGGACTTTGCTAATTCTCACTGGAGCAGGAAGCACACTAGACTTGCAAGCATCTGAATCCTGGAAGCCTAAATCCCACTTACTGAAGATTTTCACCCTGAATAAAACAAGATCCCTTCAATTACATAGACAATGTTCTAGATTATCCCAAATGAATCCATGCTCCACATTACATTCACCTTACATAAACTGATGTACTCCCTTCACTGTCCACCTCCAAAATCATTGGAGAGGAAGGCAGTCCTTGGAGTGTGCACACTAACAATGTCTCACAAACATGCATTCAAAAGCAAAGGCTCTATCATCTGAACAAGCAGGAGAGTCAAACAAAGCCATTGCATTTCAACCATGCATTTTGATGGTATGCAAAACATACAGATCAGCTCTTCCAGAGATGTACCAGATAGATACGCTTGCATATACAAAATTTCAGAAAAAATATTAAAAACACCCCAATTGCTCAAATTCATATTCTGAAGAGAGAAATACCTCCAATTGTCAGAGCAGGGAATAACTACAGTACTCACACAAGAACAAAACAGAACCCAACAAACAGCACATGCATTTTTTGAAGGGCCAAGGACACAGCGCTGTAATACCTGCAGTAACAGGTCTCCACACCAGCAGATTTATGCTATCTGCTGTCACAAAGGCACTTCATCTGCTGCAAACACCACTAAATGGTGCCCTTGCCCAAAACAGCTTTGTAACACACAGCTCCAGCACCCCTCTCTACTGGTACCTCCAACTCCAACAATTATGACTAGATTTCAATGCTTCTAGTGCAGGAAACTCGCAATACTGATGGAATAACACTGCTTTAAAACAGAGCTTTAAAACTGGCAAGATGATGATACTAAGACAACATAAAGGCTGTCTCGCACAGCATCTTCAGAAAAGCACAGTCTTTTCATTACTAATGTGATTCCATTATTACACGTGAACACATTTTGTCAAGCTTATAAAAGTCTTAAAGCTGGGCTACAGGGAGATCTTGTACTCGCTTTTGTTGTCTCCTTTGTTAGCAGCATCAGCCACCCAGCAAAGCTGCCCAGCCAATGTGCCTGCTCCTGGGGAACACAGGATCACCTACAGCCCAACTGGTGACTCATAGCAAGTAAGTGCTCTGAGCAATAATACAGCTGTGAATCCATTGCATCCTGCCATCACTGCCACACAGCAAAGCCTGCCCATGGGAGCCTGTGGACCAGGACACCAACCTGCTTGTTTCTAAGCATGTGGTGCTCAGCCAAGGAGGGGAACATAAGGGCTAAGGAACCATGAGATCCATGGGGCCAGCTCCTATGCACCTCTGAAGAGCTCTACCTCAGTTGGAGGTTTTCTCTGCACACGTGCCACCCACCTGGGCTACTCCAAACCCATAAGCTTTGCCAGACAAAGAGGGAAACACGCAGGACCTGTTTCACCTGGAAATTAAGCTCCTCGCACACAGCCATGGCCCAGCCAGTCAAACTAAACCACAGCTGACCACATACAGACACATGTAGCAGCACCCAGCTGCAAACAACAGTCATTTTGGTTTGGGAGAAAAAAAAAAAGCAGCTGTTGGGATAAAAACCCTCCCACAGAAAATCCATCCATTGCAAGTGGATCCTCCAGGAATATCCCTTAACTCCTTGCTGTATGCAGTACCAGACACACGGGCAGGCTGAAATGATGCTTTGGTGCTTGACACAAACACAATGCAGAGAAAGCTCCTGTGAAGTCATGCACTGCCCTTGGGAAGGTGAAATGTAAGTGCTCCCTCATGACCAACCAGCACTGGGAGCCACAGACAGAGACAAGGCACTTGTGGACACTGAGACGCAGATGAGTGGATGTTCTGTGCTGGCTATGGAAGTGGCAGGCAGGTTACCTGGGGAAATCAGGGCTGATGGAAGAGATCTGCCCCTGCAGGGAATCCATGATGTTGCTCTGCGAATAGAGCTGCAGGGGAGAATTGAACTGCACATGCAGCACCTTCAGTCCTGGCACCTCCACCTCCACAGGGCTTTTAGGGCAGGCCTGGGCCGCGTGCTTCAGCTGCTCCGGCCCCACACGAACCTGGCTGGACAGGGCACCAGGGCTGTGCCTGCCCTGTGCCTCCACACTGGGTGACTGCAGCGGGTTATAGACAGAGGCAAAGGGAGCCTGCTGCGCACCCATCGGCGAGCGACGGCTGTAGGCACACACCCATATGCAATGAGCAGCACGGGTTGTGTTTGTTTGGGATGCGTTTGTATTTTATGTGGTGGAATTGAAGGAAAGATGCAGAGGAGGAAGAAAGGAAAGAATTCAGAAGTTAATGGAGAGCTAAACCAATACTCCAAGTGAAATAAACAGAATACTGCCTGTTGCTTCTGCCGGAGGGACACACCACTGCATACATCACTTTACATTAAAGGCTTTCAGCTGATGCTTTAGCTCCAGCCTCCTTGCTCCAGGTGTGTCCACACACTAAGCAAACCACAGCCACTCCACTCACAACAGCAATGAAGACATGGCAGCAGGACTGAGCATTCAGCCACAGCCTTGCTGTCCACCCTCACTGCTGCCCCTCCCAATTTGGTCTGGGCACCCTGCTGAGCAGCCACTGCACCTCCAATTCCAGAAGAGCCATGTTCAGTGGCATGGCTTCTCCCTGTCCTTCTTGCCTCCTTTGCAAGACCGAACTCTGCAATACTATTTATTTGCCTCATTTACAAATTGCATCAAACAGCCCAGGCTTCCAGGGAGCGCTCTCTCCTGGAGGGAACTTCAGACTACACCAGATAGAATTTGACTGTCAAATGGTCCCAACATGTTAACATAAAGCCAGATTTCTTTTCTCCCTGCCATCCCTAACTCAGTCACTTAATGTGGGGTGAGAAGCAAACACCCAGCACCTTGCCCACCAGCTGCAACATATGCAGCTTTCAGAAAGCTCCTGTTTTATGGCTTCCAACTAAAAAAAAAAAAAAAAAAAAAAACAAAAAAAGAACAACAAAAAAAAAAACCTTGGACATTCAGGAACAAAAAGTTCCCATGGTGAAATTATGGCTGTTACTCAAGTAGAACCACAAAGCTTTCAAGATTGAGATCATTTTAAGTCTCATTCATAAAATTATTCACACCACTACAAAAAGTTTCATCTAGATATTAAAGCTCGTGAGAAAAACTGAGTCGGATAATAAAAATAGTAAGGTCAAAGCCTGTCTGTGAGCACCAGGCCAGTTGGGAGCCAGGATGGATGTTCTTCCTGCTCTAGCTGCACCCTTCCTGCTCAGCACAGTCACAATGAGATACCCGCTGTACAAAGAGCTCACAGTGAGCTGTCAGGCACCTGTTCAGACCAGCAGGCTTGCACGTCATGCTGAATGCACATGGAAACTGCGTCGGTCTCTGCTAAACAAAGAAACACAAGAGCGTTAATTTCATCTCTGCATCGTGTAAGACGTTCCCCACTCCCAGGAGATCTGTCCCTGGGTGCTGCATCCACTCTTGCCTGTCTGCTCCGTCCCCTGTCCTGAAAGAGAGCTGTTACATTTCCCCAGCTGGGCAGAGCTCAGAGGCATGGACGATACTTACAGCTTGCTGGGCTCAGGGGGCCCAGGCGATGTCTTTGACTCCACAGCATTGTTGAAGGTCTGGAGATTTTCTGAGGAGTAGAGGCCCGCCGGGCTGTTGTACTGAGCAGTGATCACCTTGGGGGCAGAAGCCGTGGCAGCAGTGAAGGGGACCGCGCTCCGGTTGTGTGCGCTTCCTATGTGCCTTATTTCCTGCATGCAAAGGAGCAAAGGCACAAGTCAGAGGTGCTCAGGCGTGCAGGGGGATGTGGCAGGCAGCCCAGAGCATGCAGCTGCTGCAAGGGTCACGCTGAAATGTGGTGGCACCTGGGAGCTCACTGCCCCAAAGAAGATGAGTGTCCTCAACATGTTGGCAGAGCCCGTCTCCATCCTGGATGGCCAACATGGCCTCTTCAGGCTGGCACTCAGGAGGTCATGCAGGTGATGAGCCAGGAATGCAAGATCTCCAAAACACAGTGACAGTACAAGATCAGCTGCTGCACACCTGGAAGCTCTGCAAAGCTATGGTGAGGCACAGGGCCCACCTTTTCACGTAAGACTACAGATTTTAAGTATTCCCTGCAAATCCTGAAAATAGGGTTAATTTCAATGGAAAGTGAAGATTGATGGGCAGACAGAAGAGCACTCTTCAACAGCAGCTGAAAGGCTGATTTTCCCAAGACAAGGGCACACCAAAAAGAAGGAATCTGACATAACTATAGATGTACTAAACTACATCTGCTCCTTCAGCAAAGATTGGTCTCACAGCATTCTTTCATGAACAACTTAGAACTATCTGAACAAAAAACACTGCCCCAGAAGAGGTGGGAAGATGACCGTTGTTAACACAAAGGACTGCCCACAGGCAGTGGTGGCTAAATGCCTCGACAAGATCAGAGACCTCCTTAACATCAGAAGAATCGCCCAGACATTCTGGGCTTGCTGCAAATTGGAGCTTCCAGAGGCATTAGCGAATAACTTAGGAGAAAATTCCAGACAAATATGATGTTTAAAAAAAAAAAAAAAAAAAAAAAAAAAAAAAAAAGCAATTCTGAATCACATGCAGCTCTAACAAAAATGGGGAAATTGGTAGCCCCATCTTCAGCTCAGCAGGCTGGGAACCACAGCCCTAGGGCAAAGCTAACAGCACCCAAGGCTTGTTCCTCCTGGAGAAAGTGCTTAGCAAAAACAAGGAGGGAACACAATGAAGCCTCAACAGAGAAGGCAGAAGAAAGTCCACAGAGGTGACTGAAATATTCAGTGCTGCAAGATGGCATTAAATATGCATTTTGAGAAGTCTGGGCCAGAGGCAGGGAACGGCTTCGTTACAGGGCTTGCGCCCACTGGCACAGGATCAAACAGGGCCCTTCTCAAACATGCTGGGCCCACATTTCGTTGTCATAATTGGCACCACCAGTTTGCTTCCCACTCCACACACATGCTGACTTCTATAGCAAGGAAGTGAGCTTTCACTGTCCTTTCAGTGTCTCATGGCTCTTGTTCGATAGAGCTATAGTTACAGAATAAACACTCATTAGAAACAAGCATGACTAAATTCCCCTATAGAGCTTTCTTAAGATTGCTTTTATGCCCTAAGATTTCCTTACGCAGCTGGCTAATGTCCCTGAACTGACAAATGGGAGTCACCTTGTTCAATGGCACACACAAGGCACACACAGGAACCCTTACAGAAGAGGAGTACAGGTCCAAACACACTCATGAGATACGAGTCATATGCAATCAGTGGGGTAGCTCAAGAAGTTCAGGTGTGGGATGATGGGACTGCTCTCCCACAGCTTTCTGGCCAACACAAATGGAAATCAGCCATGAAACTTTCCCACACACCAAAGGAAGACAGACCCTGGAGTAATTAGCTAATCTCCTTTGTTACAATCTCATTCAAAGTGCTCATAAAAATAGTCTTTCCCATGGCAGAAACTGTGGATATTAGCAAAAAATAATAATTACTTCAGCCTGTAAATCACACCATGGGGAAAAGTATCAGTGCTCTTTTTATCAGCATTAAATGCATATGTTAGAACACGATTCTGAGGCAGCAAGTGGGAGAGAGTATATGCAGACATACATATAAGTAGTCAGTTTAATGAAAGACAGAGGCAGAAGTTTTAGGCTAAAGGAATTATACTCTCAGGTCACATAGGCTCAAAGATTAAATCATGTCACAATCTGTATTGTGCAAACACTTCAGTATTAACCAAGAATTAGAGAAAAGGAAGTAATTTAGTTTTTTATTTGTTTGTTTTTAATTTCTAGCTTCCTAAGGAAGGTTTCCTTAGGAAAGTCAAGCAGTTTCTTAAGACATCTCAATTACATGCTCTACATGCACGTGGACACGTTCACATCCCGACCAAGGACTTCGAATCTGTCAACAAAGCTCCGATCAGTCTGACAGCAGAACAGAAGCCTGAAGGACCATTAAGCATCCACAAACATTGAGAAACCAGGGAGCTGGATGGAGGAAAAAGATGGAAATCACATTAGAGCCTGGACTCAACTGCAAATTGTGTTCAGGCACTGAAGCCACGTTGGAAGTTTCTGACTACTTGCCACCAGGTAAGTTTTCTGCTGTTTAATAACGTTCAAGTCTAAGCTTCCAGAAGCACCAGGACATCTGTAGCAGTGCTCGCAAAGCTAAAACCCATGAGAGACTGTAAGGGAGTTTATAACAGACCAAATAGAGCATAGAGAATCCTGAAGAGGATGTCTGAAGATTAGGTCAGAAAAATCCCATCTCAAGAAGAACACAGAAGATCTGTAACCTAAAAGTCAGACAATATAGCAAAAGCAATAAAATTATAAAAAGCATTTGGATAACCCGAATTCTCCATCACTTTGTCACACCATGCTGCTTTTTCTGCTCAAGCAGTGGAAGGAATTTGTGAAGAACAAGTACTTTCACGTAGCAAAACCAAGATCAAAAGATAACCTGTTTTCCCTGTTAAATGCATTTACCTAGGGATTTGCCAGACCTGCCCACCAGGCTCTGGGTTGGGCATTTGCTTTGTGAAAGCCCCAGCTCCAGGAATTGTATGCTTATGTCAGAGTCTGTGATTTAGCACTGGAAAAATATCAGAAATGAGGCAGTCCCACACCTGGTCACCATCAAGCAAAAAATGTATCACAGTGCTGCAGCCTCTTCCAGGCAGGGAGCAGCCACAGCACTAGCTGTGGTACAGGGAAAACATCCCCACACCAGAGCAGGAAGCGGCTCAGCATTTCCGACCACGCCAGCATGACGGGGAATTCTCTGGGAGAACAATGGCCCCTTCTTCCTGCTCACATCAGGCCATGCTTGGGGATGCCAGGTCTGTGAAATCGCCATGGCTGTGCCGTCCCCTGCAGCATGGCTGGCTGCCTACCCCACAGCTGAATTGCAAGCAAAGTCCACCTCAGGTACAGCCCGAGGCTCCACGTTATGGAGTCCAGGGAGCTAAGGGAACTCCTACTTGATGCTGCAAATTTAAACCATCAGCACCCAGGCACTGCAGCTGCAGGGATATGTTCTCCAGCACCCCCGCAGCCCTGCAGGCCCCAGAGCAAGCCTCACAACCCAGCCAAACCGCATCCTACCAGCCTGCAGAGATGGAGGCTTGGATGCTGGAGCACACGCCTCAAGAGCCACGCCAAGAGGAAACACGATTAAAATTTTCTCGGCACAAATGTTTACTCAGCTCGAAGAAAATGGGCCCCTGACCAAACCTCAGCAAAGGAGAGTGCCATGCATGCAGAGGAAAGCACAAACCCACAGCCAGCGTGCCTGGCCCCATCCCCATCCCCATTCCAGTGAGGCCACATGCAAAGTGAAGGCCATGCTCGTGCCTAGGAGCACCAGTACCTCTGCAGAGCCTGTCCTCACAGCCAGCTCCAGCTGAGGGAATGCTTCACCAGCTGCAGGCACAAGGAGCGGTGCCTCCGCTTTCACCTCTCCCTCTGTTATTGTTTGGGGTTTTTCAGCTATGGAAAAATCTTTTGCAATGCTTTGAAATCTGATTAGAAATTAGAAAGGGTTTGGGGCTTTGTTATTGTAGGGGGGTAAAACAACACGGCTGGCTTCCCACATCCTCTCCCTCCAAGTCCTTAAAACATTCCACATCCATGCAGTAACGCCTTTTAACCAAAACCAGCAGGTCACCATATATTGTTATTTTATATACCTATTGCTTCATGCATTGCCCACGCACGCTTGGCCTTATCAAAGACCAGGCCTACCACACACCCAGTTTCTATAGCCCTGGCCTTCCTGGTATCCAAGGAGATAAAGTACACAAGATGGAAACAATGACATCACCCAGCGAGGACGGGGATGGGGATAGGGCAAGCACTCTCACAAGGAGCCTTGGGAGGACAGAAGCAGCTGTCTGCTCTTGCCATCCCACAAGTACCATGATTCACCTCCAGAACTCCCTCGCTCCCTCATCTGCAAGTCTGGACCTTGTTTCTTTCTTTTTCCTCTTGTAAAGAGCATTCTTGAGTTTGAAAGCCCTTATCTTCTATGGTTGAGAAAGATGTGATGTCAAAGTGAGGGCTTTCAGCTTTTCTTGGAGACAGTCCTGGCACTGACCACCCTCAAAGCCAGTCTCTCCCGGTCACTTCCTACATGATCTCACTAAGCACAGAGACCTTGGCCCACTGACCTCACTGTCACACAAACACAGGAAAAAGCCAAACCTTCTCCCAGAAAGCCCGGGTTTAGCAAGGCAAGGCACAGACACAGAGATAACAAGATTTTCAGTTCATTTTACTGACAAGCAACACAACAGCACAGCACACATGGCTCTGGAGCTTAATCATCCTGTCCTCCGGTCATACCACAAGCATCAATATTAGCTCAGTTACCAAAATAAGTTGTTCTCTTGCTTGCGATCCCTTTTCCTAAAAAAGTTAAGCAGAAGGGACAGGCGGACGTGTTATTTTAATCTTTCCCACTGCAGTGCGGAAAAGCTCTTGATGGGAAAATGACATTGAGTGAATGCCCTCATGATCCGGGTGAGAAGTGCAAGTGAAATAATTGAGTAAATATACGAAGAAGTCTCCGTCATTTCCTTCCCATCACGTTGCCATGGTCACACCCAAAACAAAGCTAGCACAGCAGCAGAGCCATCATCACCGATAGGCTGCTACACCTTTTGATAAAATGTGATTTTGTCATCACTCTTGCCTTGGCTTGAATGAATTTAAGAGGATAAAGATAGGAATAATGAAATAATAAGGCCATGGCTTTCTCGTTTGAAAAGACTAGCACAGACAATGAAGTCAGTCTTGGTATTTAGGACTTTGGGGAATGCATGGGAGGTTGTGGAATGCCTTTTTTTTTTTTTTTCTCCCCTCCAAAGGCACTCAAAAGCATCTTGAGCTTGCATTCCAAGTAAGGGAAAATACTCACACAGACAGATGCAGCATTTCACCAAGTGTCAGCCTCCAAAAAGACTACAGACATAAACAAAAAGCTTATTGCAAATGGGAAAAAGAGTACAAGCAGTGATCTTAGTGTCTAATTAGCCACTTAGGACATAAACCAAGAAGTATTTTGCAAGATCACTCTCAAAGATTTAACTGTAGAAATGAAATGGGAACAGGCAAAGAAGGTGGCCAGATGCTGAGGAGTTTCAATGCAGATAGTGAAGTTGGGGATCAATGTCAAATAGTACCTCATTTTAAGAAAGGGAGAAATTATTTGAATAATTGCTCTCCAATCTCTACTGCAAAGGCTTTAAAGCATTTCTTTTGAGTCTGAATTAACTCTATTCACATATATTATGGTATTGCTGCATTCAAAAGGCTGTGATCAAATACTGTGAGAAACATCTTCAGAGAACAGTGGATCTGGCCCTAATGAACTACTTGGACTCAGCATGCCTTATTTTCTTTGGTAAGGGACTTAAGTGCTCTGCATAAGCCTGCAGCCAAGGGCAGCACATGTACTGCTTTCACTGGTAAGGCAGTTAGATAAACCTAAACAATTCAGACAGCACTGCCTTCAGAGAGTCAGCTCTGCTTATGGCTTCTACCAGTGCTGTCTGAAAATGAGCTCAGCATCTTTGCAAGAAAATTCCTACCAGTTTGCCACACTGGTACATGCACAGCATCTTCTGCATGCTGCAGCTGGCTCTGGTGATACTGTAAATACACAGCCCCAGATAAACTTGCTGAGTTCTCACCGCAGATCTGGCAGAAGTCAACATGCTACACTGACATCATACTGCAAGCAGACAGCCCTCACCACAGATCTCTACTAGCTGCAGTCAGCTACTGAAAAAGGAAATGGGTATTTAAAAAGGATTAAAATGTAAAGAAAAGAACACAGCTCAAAACCTGATGGTGTTCATGACACTAGCCTTTGGCACTGTGAAACAGAAAGGGTAAATAGGAGCATGTGGTTTGGAGACATGAGCCACACATCTCACACTGCTAAACTTCCCTGCTCCAGCCCATGGCTGGACTAACCCATGTGAAGAAAAGCCCTGTGCTCAGAACACCAGCAAGCACCATCAATTGCTAAGCCACTGAAAATGATTTAATTGGCTCCATTTTAAAAACGAAAAGAAGAAAGGCAAGACTTCTGTGGGAGCTTGAATGTCACTCCTTACACCAGGAAAAAACTCTTTTGGAGCCAGTCACAGGAGCATGTAGCCCAGTGTTGGCTCCTAGTGCTAAATTAAAACAAGAGTTACTGACCAGAAATAGGGTTTGTAACAGGAATCTTGCTGTAGTCATTTTTTTGTTTGCTTGGTTTTTTTTTCTGTTTTTTACAAATTCTCCTGCTGAAGTCAGTTAAGGATTGGTATCATAAATCTCAAACTTTGAGATGGCAGCATCAGAGTACTTGCAGAGGGGCCAGAGCTAGAACCAGGAACAGGGCTAAGATTAGGCTATTAGGTGCACTCCACAGTCCTGATGAATCCCACCTGGTCTCTGTGATGCCCTTTATCTGAACTTCAGGAAGGAAAGCAGAGACTTCCATTGCCTCACCCATTACTCATGTCCCTTCTAGTTTCGCACTGCAGTAGGGACCCGTGCATGACTGCAGAAGATGCTTTTTCCTCACTCATTTCTGCTGGCACACTGAAATTAATGGAAAGCTTATCAGATTGGTTACATAAGGTTTAGTTTTTGAGCTACAACTCATATCTCTGTCCAGACACAGATACCAGAAGATTTCTACAGCTGGTACTTCCTGATTTTTTTTTTGCCAGCATTGACCTAAGGATCACCTAGGAGAAGCAGGGCTGCAGGTATGTATATATTTAAAGCCAGTGAAGTCTCTCACTTCAGTTTCAACTGGACAAGGTGAATTTTATGCTTCAGCTCACACATTAGGTACAGATGTTGTGGCTGGACCAGCTCTCTCTTTACCATGCAGCGCTGCCAGCTTGCACTTCAGAAGCACAAATTTAACCTGCATGTTGGAGTTCACAGCCTTTCAACACTCACTGCAGAAGAAACCCCACAACTGACTATTAAAAATAAAATGTTTCAGTGAGAATTACTGAGCAGTGAAATCATGCCGTAAAACAACTGCACAGACAGACTGACCAGCCACCACTAGGTTTTACAAAGCACCACAAAGTCTATTTTGTTCTGAGATGCAGTGCTAGGAAGGAACAAAGTTACCTTTGTGAGAGCATAAGATGAGGTTTATTTCAAAGACCGTGCATTATCCACCTTTCCAGAAACACGCTTTTTAGATACCAGCCCCCTGAAGCCTTGCAGGGGAGTCTCAGAGCTGATTCTGCACTTCTCATTTCCCCAGTCCCAAGGTTTGCAGCAGAACACCTCCAGGGCAGAAGACACAGAGCAGATCCCAGCTCAGTGGTGTCATAGGCAGTGTCACTGCATGGCTCCAGCCTAAGTCCAAATGGCTTCGCATTATGCTTTGGCTAAGCTATGAAATACTTGGAGAACACAGCATCATGCTCTGAGCCAAGCAACACATGGCAACTTGGCAAAAAAGGGAGCATGGATTGATCCCAAATTGAGTCTAGGCAGGGCATTGCTGCACACACTGCTTCAGGTTCAGGCCCTTTCCATCCCAAAAAGTCATATCAGCACTTATTTAATTGCCAAGTCAAGCTATTTTTCTCTCCTCTCATTTTGCTAGACAGATTCATACAGGAGATGTACTAGGACAAAAATCCACTATCCTGGTGAAAACCCAGAAAACCCCTTTAATTTTAGCATAGCTGTAGATTTGCGCAGAATAGTCCTCTGAACCTAGCCTAGCCTACATCCTTGCACAGCTCACTGATATTGCTACGTTTACTCGATAGAAGCAGCAGACTGATAAGGGAAGGCTACCAACAAGTTGTAAGATCAACCTCCTCAACAAAACTTGCAAGATCTGCCACACAGATAAAAATACAAAAGGCTGATATGTTTCTCTTCTGCTTTCTCCACAGCTAGACTGCTAATAACAGTCTGTTGGGAAGAGGGGAAAAAACAACTGCATAACAAAAAGAAAAAAAGCAGAAGACACTAAATCATTTTCCTTCCTTAAGATCTTTCTTATCTATGAAAATCATCAGGCTTAGCAAGAGTAGCGATGATTTAATCAAGCCACACTTCCACAGTGCCTTCATGTGCGCTTTATGACAGGTTTGAGCAAGTTTTCCAACCAGCTCTCCATGGCAGCAGGCATCTGAGCATGAGGAAGAATGACCATCTCTGAAGGCAAACATGGGGCACACACACTACCCAGTGTGACAGAGTGACACATGCTCAGCATCTTCGGGTACCAGGCCAGAAACCACTCCAAAGTCAGACAGGAGTAAGTGGGCACAAGCATGCAGACAGTCTGTTCCTTACCTGGGGCTGGGAGGCTAGATTCATCTTGTAAGGATGCGCCTTTCCCTCTTCATTTACAAGCGGTGACCAGACTTTTGACTCCGTTCTGCAACACATGAATTCCAAACAGTTAATCTACTTTCATTGCTGCCCATCACTGTTGCTATTAGAGGACTTGTTTGGTGGAGATGAAGCTCACGAGCTGAAAACTTCTGTATAGTTTGAGTATGGTTAAAGTAGGAATTCACACAACTCATCCTTTGGGACTCCATTGATGACACAAGAGATATGGGCTCCAACCCAGGCAATATATTTAGGGGTCAACCAACAGCAGAAGATGGAAACGTCCCTGAGATGCATACCCTTTAACTGAGACAATTCAAATTACTGCTTTCCAGCTCCTATGAGTCGCATGGAAATGAAATGAGTCGTGTCTGTATTAAATATACATAGAACACTGTGTTCTTGAACTTGGGCTGCTGGAAATATTTCTTGCTTTGGGTCTCCAGAATTTTCTTATTCATACAGTAGAATCCATGTAGAACAGAGGCTTTTGGGAATCATGGAAAAAAAAAAGAAATGGGTCAAAGTCAGCAATGGGACTAAAAACTGAGATGACAGTGTGTCCAAGAGAAAGTCTGCATAACCTTTGCTAGTCTGACCCAATTGCAGCAGCCTGAAACACAAATCTGTGACCAAAACCAGCTGCTTCTACCAAGAATCATTCTGGAGTTTTGTTGTGCCCCAAAGAACAACAGAAAAAGTAGTGAGGGAGAAACAGGAATTAAACTTAGATTTGCTTGAGATTCTTTGTGGGAAACACATGCCATCTAAGATTCTCACGTGTACAGAGAGCAGTTAGCTTTAAGGAGGGACCAAACACTGCTGCTTCTGCCAAAATTTGTAATAGTAGGGAATAAAGTGGCGGCAGTATCACTGAATGAAAACCATCATTCAGTGTTAAATATTACACAATGCAACAACTAGACAGCTGATAAACTCTTTGGATGAGTTTTGAAATCCATGTCCTGTTTTGACAGGAGATCCTGAAACTCTCTAAATTCTGCAATTGCAGGCAGATGTTCTTCCCAGATATCTGTGGGGTCAGGGCCAGCTACAGTTTAAGTTCTTAGTTAGCAAAACAAGATTGTTTCCACTGAGAATTAACTGGATAGCTGGAAAGAGACTTTAAACAGAAAAGGCTTATAAAGCTGACAAGGGTAGAGAAACAGGATATAGAGCTACCCACAATAAAAATTCAATCTGGTCTACCCTATTATTCCAAAGGCCCACCATTTTCAGTACATTTTTAAACAAAAACAATGAAAAAACCCTACCTGTGCTGCGCAGACACATACTGCATAAATAATACTTACACCCAGATAGCAGCTCAGTGGGAGGAAGTGACAGGCAACCCACTCACTCTGGGAAGAGAAGAGTTTCTATAGGGAATTCATTCACCTGCTACTTCATCTACTGTGCTCTGGACTTCACACAAAAGAAATCCTGCCTGAAGCCTGCTTTCTGAAGTACATCCTTTTGCAAGAAAGTATACAGGCATGGGTCACAGACAGCATCCTCTGCACACTTTGATTCAGGTACAGCAGATGTTTGGCTTGGGGTTATTTCATTCTGTGGCAGCAGCTGCAGTGCCAAGAGCCAACAGCCTGCCCATCTGACCCCTGGCATATGATGCACTAGGGCACACACAGACTGAGGAGCACAAATATAACAGCTGCATGGGATCAGCTCTACAACAATCTAATAATCACCTTGCCCCAACAGCTGTTGTTACTGTGGATGTGCAACGTACCCCAGGTGAGTGTAAAACAATTATTTCCTCCTTGCTTCTGGTCACCAGTGATTTTTACCCACATCACAGCCATGGAGCATAACAAAGTCACAGCCACCTCTAGGGTGGCTGCATTTTGCACATGAAAATCATATTTGCACAGAGGGGAACAGCCCACTGACCAGCACAAAGCCTTCCTCTTTGGAAGATCACGTGTGACCTCTGGAAAACATGGGGGCACAGCAGAGCTCATGGAAACAAACACCTGCCAGCCAGGCTATAAGCAAGTAGACATTGGCTGGAGATGAAAGAGCAGTTCAGAAAGCATTAAACACTTCAGTGGATTTCTAGCAGGAGGCATCCCTGGTGCCAATTCTCACTGGTCCTGATTGAAGCACTTTCCAAGTAGTATTTTCTTTTGCAGCAGTTTAATAATGCCAAATTTCAGAATCAGCAGAAGGCCTTTCACAATCTGCAGATTTAAGCTTGGAACAAGCCAACGTATGTACACAAAGCAGAAACCTCTTCCCAGGGCCCCAAGGGGTTACCTCCATCCTACTGCCCCTGGCTTGGTACATGAGGTGGCACAGCACATTGGTCTCCAGTGTCTGGGAGATACCTATGGCCAGCTACTGTAGCCAACATGTTTCTGTACAGATTTTGCTCCCTTTTTTGATAGCAACGCAAAAAATGCCAGTTTGTTGCCCAGCCTGCTGCCATTCCAATCTGTCACTGCTTATAAATGGAAGCAGCAAGGTCACTCCAGGCTTTACTTCCAATCCAGTTTAGATGCTATCCAAACAGAAAGGTTAAACAGCCCGCACAGTTGTCCCTCTAAGGCCAGGAGAACAAAGCTTCCCTTGTCTTCACAACAGCTGCCACAGAGCCCTTCACTTGCTCTCACAACGGCCCATTTATGGCCCCAGCGAAGCTGAAGATGAGACAGCTTTGCTTGGGATGCATCGCTAGTGGGTCCAGCACAGCACGTCCCATTGCATCCCACCACTGCCACAGAAGCTGCAATCTGTGGGTAATCAGTAGGACTGCAGCAACACCTGCTCTCAGTAAAGGGTTCCTGCCACCAGTGCCTGCACTTGCTCTGAAGTGAGAGAAATAGCACCCAAATGTTCACCTTTGTCCAACTGCTGGCCCAGGACTTATCTTCTGGAAGGCTGGGAAGTAGGGATACGAGGCACAGGTCAGCTGGATTGGTTAGATCCATCACATCTTCACCATATCTGCATATGTTCATATCACTTATGGGAAGCAGGGAATGGGCAGCTAGCTCAAACTCAAATTTAAGTTAGAATATATTTTCTCCTGTATACTCCAGCAAAGGGAGTGACACACAGTACAGAAAGAGAGGACACAAACATGACTGTCAGACAAACACAGGAACACCTGCCTGGAAAACTAATAGCAGGCATGCAAATATACAAACTTCATCACATTTGTAGCTTACATTTCCATGCTGTTCCCTTACCACTGGAGAGAGGGCAACTAAGACTATGCCAGGGAATGAGCCGTGCATTTGCTTTTCCATCCAGGCAGAAACTAAAACCTGAGATAAGAACAGATACTAGCTTGGATGCAGAGGTACTGGTAGGAAGGATAAGAAGGAAACTGCATGCAAGTCAAGGCAAGAATCTGGAGAAGTATTTGTGAAATTCATCATTCTTCATGAAGCTTGGCTTGAATACAGTATAATATAAGCAATCACAAGAGGCTAGATTTTGTTATCAACGCTCTGTGTGCAGAGCTAGGCCATAGCTTCAAGGGAAAATTCAGTGCTGGAAAATGAGGATCTAATTCTGTTGCCAAGAATTGCGTAAATAAGTTCAGTAAAAAAGGCACATTTACATTCTTATTTCAAACACTGAGAGAGGCAAGTCTAATTTACCAGAGTAGCAACTGAACTCCTAAAAGCAGAAAAGTTTCTTCTAAGGTAGAAGGTTCGTGAGGTGAAAAATGAGGAAAGACCTAAACAAGTCCTCTCTCAGAAGCTCCCAGGGTTTTAGATAAGTGGCAAAGGATAAGGCACACCTACTGTTCTCTGAACTAGTCACCTACAGAGTTCACAGCTTCTGCCTTGCCAAAGAGGGTGTAACAGTATAGCAAACACCAGGTTTGACTTGCCAAAATGCCTTTGAAAGCACTTATCACTGGTAAAAAGTGCTGAGAGAGCTGGGGAGCACGAAGGCAGCCAGGAGAGCCTTGAGCTGCTGGAGATGGCCGCTCCACATCTCCTTATATAGCTGTGCACAGCTCCAGGCTTCCCAGGCCACAGGCATTATTAGCACAATGACAGACCTGGAAAACTCTTGCTGGCAGGGAAGCAAAAAGCAAGCTTAAATGAGTCAACAAACTCTGCAGACTTCCTAGAACACAAACCCAAGCCTATTGTGGCTTTATGCAGCCACAGCTGAACACTGGCAACACGTGGAACAAGGATGGGGAGCTTCCCACAGAGAGGGTGCAGCTGAACCTACCAAGTATGGCACAAAGGACATTGTCTCTCCTCGCTCCTTCTCCATAAGCATTACACATGATCCTTTTTGACAATGCATTTAACATCTGCTGGTAGCAAGTCTGACTTTCCTGATCTTAGCAGTTTTCAAAAAAAAAATGCATAGCTTCATTCCTTGGCATCATTTTAGCAGAGTAACAGACTGTTTTGCAAACAAAAAAATGTATTAATATATCATACACTGGCAGCAGGGCTGCTGAGTAGGAGATTGGAATTTGAAGAAAAGGACAGTAGGAGCAGAAAACAAGATTATATGCTTGCACTCTTTTCCACAAATCTTCTTCTCCTATTACCACCCCAATCTGTCTCCAAACACAAAGGAATGGCTTTAGGAATATTTCTTCTTTTGTTAAAAAAACATAAATACCCAGTTTACCTTGAAGTTGCTCATGGCTGCACACGAGCACAGCTTTGCTACCCACTAGGTGACTACAGTCACTTCTTTCAGACATAACTTTCACCTGTACTGCAACTGGAATGAGTATTTGTCCACTTCTGCCCATCTGTAGCTACTACTACACAAACCTGCGTACCAAATTCACTACAAGTATTACCACTGACATCAGTGATGCCCTGGACTTTGTGGCCATTGGGCGAGTTTTTGTTTCTTGAGCCTTCCTATCTTTGAACGCTTTCTCATCCAAGTGTGTTTCTTTCCCAAAACACACCAATTTTCCAGAGCAAGGTGACAGCGCTCTCCAGACTGGACACATCTAGCTGCTCACCTCCATTAAAAGGCAAATTGGAGGTGCACTTAGTAGAGGGGCAGCCAGGGACAAGGCTTTGCTTGACCCTCAAAAGTCAGTGCTAAGAGGTACAGACATCCACTACAAAAAACAAACAAACAAAAAAAAAACCTCTTCTCAAAGAATCAAGATCCCAAACTTCCTTCCTCTGACGAATGCAAGAGGCTTAAAACTCCACCTGTGAAATTTCTCAGTTTGGCAACCAGGTGGCTTTGAGTTGACTGAAGTGCAGACTCCACTGTAAGTTGGTCTTTCTATGCATATCAAAGAAAACCATGGTGCAGAGCTTGAGGGTACACCACTGAAGACAACATCAGAAGCTTTTCCTTCGTTTATTGGGAGCTATGTTTCTAAGAAGACTCTCTACTCTGGGAAGAAAAAAAAAAAAAGCAAAACAAATGAATAAAGGCTGAGAAGAGAGGGCAGACCTGCTAGGCTTATTAAGTCCAGCACAAATTTGGTGCGTGTGCCAACGCTGTAGAAGAACCACTTTCAAGGCTGAAGGCAGACCTCTCCAGCTCTGCCCACACATCATACAGCACCACGTAGAAAAGCACATTCAGAGAAAACAGTTTGTGACTGACTTTACACCCGAGCAAAATCAATCGATTTCTGCCCCTTTAGGTGAAAGAAGCAGTCGAGGCACAATCTCTCCTGTTAGTACTTGGTCCTTTTTTAAACAGCAACGTGTCAGACAAGATTTCCTGCCTACAATCTGATCTGAAATATTTCTGGACTGTTACCATCATTTAGGAAAAATATCGAAACAGGAAACATTGGAATGCTGTTGATATTCACAATCAAGTACACAGTACAAACAGCATTTCCTTTACCAGAAGTGTTTAAGTCTCTCTGGTTCTCTATATTTACACTTCTCTTAAATAATCACTAATGCAGCCAAAGATAGGGACATTTTAACCACTCAGCTACCACTGAAAGAGAAGAGGGTTACATAGATGCAGATGAACACACATAATATTTGTTTAGGTGTGAGGAAGAAGGACAAGATGAGCATAGCACCATGCTTCCCCTAGAACACACCAGCATCCAGCTTTTTGCAGCCCAGGGGCTTCCCGCAGCAGAGATACTATGGTGGTCCATACCACCCTTTACAGATTTTACTTCCATAAATACATCCAGTCTCCTCTTGAACTCATGTGTACTTAAAGCATTCACAGTATAGTCACAAATCACAAATGATGTCCCCATTGTCACAACAGCAGTGTCCCCTCATGGAACTGAAACCTTTGGCATGAGCTCTAACAAATGTCTGTAAAAATCCCTCCTGGCATAACCCTGATGCTACCCTGAACACAGATCTGATAGCATTTTGCACACATACCTCCATGAGCAATCATTTAAAATTAATCAGGTATTAACTTAAAAAACACTAAAGACCCACAGCAACAGCTCTGGTTACAGAGCTGCTGCCCTGTCAGCTCAGGAGCCTTTGCCAGCAGCCCTTGCCAGCACAGCTGCTTTGTATGTGGATCCAGCTCATGAGCTATGACTGTGGAGCACAGAGGGCCAACCCAGGAGCTGGTGGTGGTGAAGCACAGGCGATATCCTTCCCTCTTTGTATCCAGGCAGCTGCTTAGAGAGCCACGTTCACAAAAGATGTAGTTACAGAGGCCCAAGAGAAGGCAGCTGAGGGCTAGGGATAAAATATCCTGATGAAAGAATGGCCAGGAATGATGTTGTGTGATGCACGACTGCCTTCTGGCATTAAAACAGTGCTTTTTTCTCTCTGAGAAATCATCCTGTGGTATCATACCCCCAAATACAAACATCTCTAGCAGCTATCAAACCTCTAAACAAGCAAGCAGTTCTTCCCTAAGCAGAGTCTTAATCCCAAAGAATAAAGAGGACCAAAGACTTGAAGGCCCTTAGAGCCATCTAAAATGGGTTTTATACAGAGCAATGGGCTACGCTATTAAACCCTGGGGTGGAAGAGTAGTTAGATCATTGCTTTTCACTTCCTTGCACTATTGACACTCTCTTTGGCCATTTACTTGTCAGTCAGTACAGCAGCAGCAGTGCCTGTCACACACTTCATGGTGTCTCATTTAAAGATGGCTTTGAAAAAGAGTTGGGCAGTTTCAGCTCAAAGCCCTCCATGATTCCACTCAGCTGCGCACACAGCTAGAAACCTGCTTCCAGGCAGCTTCAGCTTCCACACCCAAGGCTGATAAGGGCATGGGGTAGCCATAAAGTTAACAGCTTTGTAATTAACATTAGCAAAGACATTTTACAGACTCAATGACCTGTAAGACTAAGCCTGCTCAGCAGCTAAAAGAACCCTGGCCTCCTCTCCTCTCTCCCAGCCACAACCACACAGCACTGGCTTGCAAACCAAGAAGTCAGACATTTTGGGGCAGCCAAGGAGCACTCCTCTGCAGGAAAGCTTCCACGTTAAGGGTCAGCACAAAAAACATCAGGGCTAGCAGTCTGCCATGCCATTCACACCACCTTTGCTTTGCTCTTCTCTCTGTGAATTCCCCTCAATGAATTACCAGGCTTTTTTTGGCCAAGGCCCATCATTTTTTCCTGACCTGGGAAATAATGTTGAATTACTAGCATTATGCAAGTTACAGTAAAAGACTTCCCATTATCATGGAAAGGTCCCAAACAACTGAACTACTATGTTACTTGAGACATGCTTTTGCACCTCTCCTGAATCCACTGTGAAGTTGGTACCCACAGCCGCAGTTTAAACAAGGGTAAATCCCCAGCACCCCAGCAGGCTCTAGCACTTTTAAACTTCAAAACGAACAATCTTTGAGTCTGCATGTGGCAAAAACTAGATAATAGTTTGGACAGCACATAACCACACGTGTTAACTGCTAAATTACTGCAATAGGAAGAAAAGTAATCTCTGGTCATACCTCCTCTGCTACGAGTAAAGTTTTCATGAGACCTGTCTTGGATTTCTTGCTGTCAGAGGCCACAGAATAGGCTGACAGACTTTGACAACTTATCAGCCAATTTCTCACTGAGAATATTGTTTTCATAAGGTCAAAGTGCAGCAAACGCAAGCAGCGTTAGGATTAAAGGCTGAAAGGCAACACCCTCTTGCAACCCAGCGCCTGGCCTTACAAAAGCAGTAAGAGGTCAGCTTAAACAAACCAATGCTGCCAAACCAAAACACAGCTACTGCTCACTCCACATCCCCCCGTCTCCCCACCCACCACTGGTGACATACCTGCTAACCGTCAGGGTGAGTTCATCCGCACAGCCCTTGATTTTGTTCTGCGCCTCGAGGTGCGTCATGTTATCTGTGTTCACTCCATCAATGGCTATGATCTGGTCTCCTATACACAGGTTGGCTATTGCAGCTTTGCTACCTGGAGTCACCTACAAGAAAACAAAACAAGTGAGTGTGCCTCCCAGGGAGCAGCTTTTCAAGTAACATTTGAAAGACAGCTGGAGCAAACCGGGCTTCTCTTGCTGGTGCCTGAAAGCAAGGAAATAAAAACTAATCAAAGCAAACTGTTAGCAGAAATCTATCTGGATAGACATCTCTTAGAGCTCCTCTGTGAACATGAGGATCAGGATTCTGTTCTGGCACCCACAGGAAAAGATTTTATGGGGGGAGATGAGTAAGTGACAAAATAAGACAAGGGGGAATAGTTTTAAACTAAGACAGAAAGGTTTAGATTAGATATTAGGAGGAAGTTTTTTAAGTCAGCCCTTAAATGGGATCTAAGGGAGGTACTGCCAGGCTCCACCCCTTTCGGTCACACAGATGAATTGCCTTCACCTGCGCTCCCAGGACTGAGCTGTTGAGCTATTCCTTTCCCCAGGTGCTCAATCAGTTGTTCAGGCTGTGACTCAGCAGTTGCCATACAGTAGTAGAGAGCAAAACCCTGAGAACACAGTTCCACACTTTACTGGATAGAGAGGTTCTCTCCAGGGCAGAAGGTGCTGAGAACAGACAGGAAGTTCTGGAACAGATATACCAGAAAAGGGAGAGAGAATCAGAGTTAAATGAAATCATGAACACATTTGTCTGCATCATGATCTCATTTGCTTCCTCCTTTGTGAGAAAGATTTGGGCACAAGATTTTTAATTGTGCCTTTAACAAGCTGGCACCCAGGAACACGTGCAACAGCCTCACTGATTTCAGTATGATTAATCCTAAAGTGCTTGACCTAACAAGTGGATAGGGAGGCAGAAAGGCATCAGAAAACTCATTTTTAAAATGCAATTTGGCTATACTTTCCAAAAAATCATTAGCAACATCCCCAGCCTCCTATCCTGACCTCACATTGATATATCCTGATATATTAAATCTCCCTTTTCTCTTCATGCATGATGCTTTATTTCCCAGATACACTCTAGCACTGCTGAAGTGCTGTTTGAGAAGTGATGGATGAGAAGGAGCTCAGGGTGATCTCACTGTGACCCCCAGGTAGGAGACACTATGCAGTAATGCCCCCGGTATGGTGCTCCTTGTGAAAAAAGAGCTCCCAGCTAAAACTTGGCATTTTCAAGCTAACAAACTGAAAAGCTTGCTCATTTTTCCCCTACTTCTACTAAAAAGATGTCCTTTTAACAACACAACCTCTCTGGACCAAAACTATTGCCTGGACAGAGGGGGAAGAGTGGCAAATCTACTTGCAGCTTTGCAATCAGTATGTAAGATTTTGTGCAGCTTTAATGACTTCTGTGGGAGTTGTATCATGACCTTTCCTCAATTATTTAACAGGCAGAGGAAATGAGAAGGGTGGACTGCTCTCAAGTAGGAGTACAGATTAAAACATGCCTTGCAGCTGGGACACACCTCATTTATGAGTTTGTTGCAACTGGTATTCATTCTACACATTCATGCTAGGTTTCAGCATGCCGGAAAGCAGCTGAGCAAACCCTGCAGAGCTGTCAGACATAAACAAACATTGTTCACAAGATTTAGAGTGCTCCTAATGCAGGACTGGATGGCAAATCATTCCCCCTAGGGAAACATTCTCCTCCCAGAGGTGTCACGCATTAGCTGCAATCACTGCTTTCCCTGGGCTAAAAATGCTCAGCCAACAGGAAAGCACTGATAAAAAGACCAGACGAGGCACCAGGTGAACACAGAAAATCTGCTTTAAACACGAAGATTACTGTCTCCCAAGCTGCAGCCCTCAGCTCATCAGTGGCCCATAGGATCAGCCAAGCCTGCTGCCACTCCTTCATAGCCACTGCCTCTACAATATTTTCATGTAAAACTTGTGACAGGGATAGCCAGCAGACAGGAAGAAATCTTGAGCACCAGAAGGAGCTCACAGTTCTACAGTTCTCCCAGGATTTGGGAGCTGCTGTTTGACAAACCATAAGACAGACCCCTGGGGACAGCATTACACCTGAGCGATTGCGCAGGAGACATACTGTGGGTACCACCCTGGGTGTTGCGCCTTAACCCTAAGCCCGGGTTTCTCAATGCCTTTTATCTCCTCTAGAGATGGGATGAGGGCACATTACTCAGCCCTGTGAGGAGCACTGAGCGCAGAATACAATCAGTGATTCATTTTTGATCAGACAGGATTGCCAAGTAGTCAAGAATTACAGTGGACTAACACCACCACTGGAACTCTGCCGGAGGTCAGCTGTATGGTTTGCATTTAAAGGCTGACAGCCTATGCAGCTTTTGGCAGGCTGCTAGAAATGATCCTGTACCACAAGCAGCAGCTGAGCCCAAGCAGCCAGACACTAAGATGCACAAAATCTCCCAGAGAAACCCCAGAAGCCACTGAGATGAGAGCGTGGTGTCCGCAGGGACATCTCAGCACTTTGCCCACTGTGCTTGTGGAGTCACATTCCCCTCCTGTGTCCACTCTGGAGGAATTTGAAATATGAGTGCTGTTCTCGACCAGATAAGAGCCACCGGCAGCACAAGGGCAATTACGCCCAGCAGGTACTGTGCAGACCTCTCCCCTAAGGGAAAGCCTAAAGGATGCACAGTAATGAAGAAGATAAGCAAATCTGCCATAAGAAAACTTGCTTTAAAAGCCAGCTCCTTTAGTTCTTGACATAACTTGCCCTGAATTGTAACCTTCCAGAAAGCATTCTCCTGCAACATCCATCTGCCACTCTGCCAGCATCACTCATAGCAAACATGTTTGCACAGAGCCCAGCACTGCACAGAACCCATCCCCCAGCCCTTTAGGATGATTAATGCTACTAATGATGCTGTCTTCCCTCTCACTGTACAGTCTGGGCTCATTTCAGTGCCATCAGTGTTGCTTTTGAGATACATTCACCTACCAGTTAAGTCAGGAAAACAGAAAGCATTCCTGTTTTCTGCTTCTGTTTGTGTGGCATCCCTCCCCACTCTATGACAGCAGGGAGGGGTGCTCAGAGCACTGGAAGATATTGGCTAGCTTACATGATCCAATGAGAAGGACTCCAAAAACGAATAGCCTACAGGTTCACAAGCAGCCCACAGATTGCAGACCACCTGGGGAACCTAGGGGCTGGGAGGCAGCAGCTGGCACACAGCTGGATACAGCTGCACTGGTTCATGGGAGGGTGAAGAGGGCTGGAAGGGGCTGTGAGGAGCACAACCTGCAAGCACAAGTTTTATCTTGTGCAGAGGCAGAGCCTCCTGCTTCATTCAAGGCAGCTCCCAACTAGCTTGTGCTTCCCACACTGCATCAAGCAGCCTCTGGCAGAGGGACTGCAAGGCATCAGGACACTATAGCCAAACAAATAGCACTGCACATCCTCTAACATCACACCCTTAGGCTCCCTCAGGAAACAAGCCATGCCCTACCTCCTGGCATTTGCTCCAAGGCAATTGCGTGAGACTTTGCCATTAGGTCATCTCACTGCTGAACAGACAATGCTGAGGCATGTTGAGCAGAACTGTTTGATACTGTATCCAAAACAGCTCCCAAAGCTGTTGTAGGTGTTGCCCACAGAGTCAACAAGGATGCTCTGTCTGGCTAGTGCAGGCATGGTATTCATCTGCACTGACAGCAAAGCTATCTGTGTTGAGCAGCTGCCACTACAAAACACAAGCTCAGATTCATGGATGTGCCCTGTGTGCAGGAGCAGATCCTTAGCAGCTGGGCCAGGAGGCATCTGCAGCTTCCACATAGCCACCTGAACAGGTGGGAAAGGTGGGAGATTGCAAAGGATCTGCCTGCCCCATGTTGTCTGTGGTGGCACAGATATCTAGACACAGCCAGAGCACCAACCCAAGTCCCTGCCACCAGCTCAATAAAAGTAAGAATGAGCTCAGATACATTTGTCAGCTTAGGGAAGAAGTAAATGAACTCCACAATCTACAATTATACTAATGCAAAGCTCAGTGTGGTAGACAACATCTAAGGTTACGTGATGGATGTTCACGTGGACCTCTTTTTTTTGCAAAGATCCTGCAGACTCAGGGTTGGTGTGGCTAGAAGAAAAACCTACATAATTTGGTCATACCACAAGGTAAAGATTAATGGTTGTGTGCACCACCTGGCCCCGCTCTGCCTTCCCTGCACACACACTTTGGACTCTGCCTTGCCAGTACAATCAGGAGTTCGCCAAGTTCCAGGTTTCTCACCACAGGTGGTTTACCTGCTGTCATTCCCCTGCACTGGAGCCCAACAGCAGACTTGTTTGTGACACGTTAAGCTCCAAGCTTGTGTATTTGGGCAAGTGCATTTACACACTAGGAAAAGCTTTCATTTAGCAGAGAATGAGATGTATCTGGCTGCTTACCCAGCTCCAAGCCTTCTTTTATAAAACCTCTATCTGCCCCCGTGCTAGCCAAACAGAACTACACTTTACATCTGCTGCAATTAATTCCACACATGCTCTCAAGCAAGCTTTGTTATTCCTCTGCAGGGACATATGGCATCTCCTCTTCAGATGAGGATCCAAGAAGCACCAATGGGAACAATAAGGAAAGCTGCTACCCACAGCAAACGAGGGAGGGAAAAGGTGGGAAGCATTTAAATGAAGAGCAGCATAATAGAGCTCCTTATGAGTCAAGACACAGGCAGGTAAAGGTGCAGGGCCCTCTCTCTGCCCCACTCCCTATCCATTCAGGAGCTCCCTCAGCTCTCTGCAGTTCCTTACAGACCCCACAGCCTCTGGCACCACCCGGCATTCTACACCTAGACACACATCTTGAGAAGCGATGAAGAGATAAGAAAACAAGAAAATTAAGAAGAACAGTGTGGGAAGAGATCTGGATAAACAGCACCTATCTGAGCTAGAGAGGAAAACCCTGCCGAGCCTCTGCCGGACCTTACAGACATGCAGCAACATACTTATAAGGCCACCAGCGACAACGAAACATCCCCGACGATCGGTTTAATCCTCCCCACCCACACACTGCTGTCTTACCATGAGTAATGCACTCAGCACAGAGTACTATGCTAAGCAGCCACGGCTTCTCCAGCGAAAGCATGTAGCTGGGTCAGCAGACATCAGAGGCTATGAGAAAATGCAAACAGGCACGTTCCCCACCGCTGCTCACTGGGGAGTGGAGGCAAGTTCTTTACAAGCGGATCTGGGAGAATCCCCCTCCAGGCTGCAACTGCTGCATGCACTGCTGCAGTCAGATGCTGCCCAGCCTGGAGCTCACCCAGAGGATGAAAAGCAGGAAAACTCAGACACTGTGTGGAGAGGGATGACCTCAGCAAGGCAATGCAAGATGCTGGTCAGACTCCCAACAGTGGATAGGAATAATGCTGGAGGCTGCATTCTCATAGTTCACTTTGTAACCTGCCTCACATCAAAATACAAATGCACAGAAGTAGAAAGTTCTCTTACAAGGCCTCAAAACATTACATAAATTGCTCATCAGCTGAGCGTCCCCTGATGGTTTATTTCATCCTCTAAATAAAACAACATGTGGTGAAATCAGCAACCATCTCAGATACTGTGTCACGGTCCAGAACAGCATCAATTGTTTATGCAGTTAAGGCCCCTCTTCATTTCCCTATTTATATTGCAAGAAAAAAAACCTTCCCTGTTTATACTAAGAGAAAAATAAATCCATTTGCTACAGTGCTTTTGACGTAGCACCCTTCAAACCCAAAGCATTTTACAAACTCTGCCCAGGGTACCCACATGGCCCGAGGGACATCCCTGCCTTGGTTCCACAGGGCAGGAAAACAGTTCAGGAACCAACAGATCTCCGTTTCTGTGCTATATATGAATTAAAATAGAAGCAGCTCCCAGCACTGAGAGGTGTGCAGGCAGTTCTGTAGGGCTAAGCTTGATATAGCTGCTCCAGCCCAGGCTGGTGGGTAAAAGCTGCATCCACAGCAGCTGTGCCTGAAGTCACCTGGGCCACCTCCACCCAGGCAGGCCAGCAGACACAGGGCAGATTGGTGAACAGACAGGGAGACAGCTCTTTTCACAATGCATAGCATCAGGCTCTAGGCATTCCTGCCAGATGCTCTGTGTCCTCGCAACTTCTGGCTGGTGACTGTTGGGCCCTGAGTAGCAAAAAAAGGGGAAGGCAACATTCCCATTACTGTCTCTGCCTCCCAGCAGCAGTGCAAAAGGCAGCTCAGGGAACACACCAAGGTGTGCGCTGGGCAGATCACACACACGTACCACAGCAGCCCAGCTTTTGCCGTAGTTTTGCTTCAAAAGCCCTTAGCATTCCTGAAAATCCTACTCAGTCAGTCATGCATCTGCTGTAGCGAGGCGCTCCAGGCACCACCCAGGCCAACACTTGGCATCATGAATTAGGCCTACCTGCATCTCTTCACCAAGGTTTTGGGCCAGCACTGCTCCCTCAGAGTGTGACAGCTGAGATGTACTGTCTCCATGCCTGTCTCACCCCAGCTTGCCCCACAGGTGGCTCAGTAGGTGGGCACCCCCAGGGCTGCTCCATCACACCTCAGCCAGGCCAGGTCCTCTTGAAGGAAGAATGTTAGCCAGCATCAAACTAACCCGGCAGCTCCTCACTGCAGGACATTCAGCCCTCCGTTTGGATCACCCAGACTAGTTTTGGCACTGTCTTTAGAAGTAAAACTATCTTCAAACCACTTTTAAGTGGGAAAATGATGGGTTTCATATGAAAACGTAGACATAGAAGTGACCTGGCTTTGGCCAGTATCAGAGGTTATGACAGACACCTCTCCATAATGGAGCTGGGGGCTTCCTGGCCTAACGGAAATCCTAACACAACTCCCCTCCAGCTTTATTTTGGGTCAGGCATTTCAGATCTACACAACACTAGTACAAAACATAAATTCAGCTCAAGAGCAGGATTTATGGGACAATGCCATGTATATATTCAACTGGAAACAGAAATCCACTGTGTTTATCAAAATAAAATGCAAATAAACAGGAAAAAGCTTGTATTACCTGAAGGACAGAGGGGGATGGGCTCTGTTAACCATGTTGCTTTATTGCACGTCTCCCCATACAGCACATTCCTTGCTTCCTCCACCAGCCCTGCTGGTCTCACAGGAATTTAACTGGGAACCACCCTGTACAGCTCTACCATCACCCTGCAGTGTGTCCATCCATGGCTCAGACGGGATTTGGGAAAAGCTCTGCACCGACTCACTGCATGTTATCAAAAGGCACATATAGACAGAGGTCTTCCCTACTCCTGTAAGGGCATTACAGCAAGCACTGTCCTAGGGGTCAGAAAAGCACACTGTGTTTTTTCTGAACAAAGGCAGTAACAAAATGTCCACCAAAAGCATACAGTGCTTAAAAGGAAAAGAGACATCTGTAAGGCATCTCTTTGGAAAGGATGGGAGCTCTATGAGCAACTCTCATGCAGAATACTTGTGAAATTCTCACGCTTGCCCTCACAGGTCCAGCACAACCCCAGAATCAGGAGCGTGCACACAAGAAGATGCTGCAATGCATCTGAGCCTGAAGCAGTTCTGAACATGTGGCTCAAGTTGAAGGGGAGTTAGAGCAGCAAGAGACAAGAAAAAAGCAGCTGTAGAAATAGTGTTGTGTTTCATCTGCTACTGTCATCATACATAATCAGACATCAGTACCACATGGCCACTGCTGGCCAGGAGCTGAGGGGCAGAGCAGGTTGCTCTGTTGGCTCTGTGCCCACCACACCACTGCTTCTCATCCTCCTTGGCCCTAGAAATGAGTCATCGAGCTTGCTTTTACACCCCAAACAGTCCCACCTCTCTCCCACCAGCAGGACTGAGAGAAGTCCTGCTGATGGCAGCCAGTGGTGGGGAAGACAAGACAGCAGGAGGCCCTGAGCTATAATGGAGATGGGGGCCATAAAAACCAAGACAAGCAGAGTAGCTCACCCTGGGCATGACACTGTCCAAGGCAAAATCTGAACTCCTGACAGGCAACACAGTCTGAACATAGACACTTTGCTTCAAAGAGAGGTGCAGGGCACCCAACCCAGGTCTGTGACCGAAGGACCAGTAGAAAGATTGATAGCTTGAAAGTCTGGAGGATGAATTAAAAGCACCAGAGGAACTGCCAATTGCCAAAAGCAGAGAGGCTTGTTCTATTACATTTCAGCCTCCAGGGTCACAACTGGTTTCTCACAAGACAGTTATTTCGGCCACTTCGCTGATCTACATCCCTTGGTATGCAACCACAAGCACTGACAAAGACAGCCAAGGAGAAGAGGTGGGAGCAGCGAGGTAGGGCTGCAGGCATACTTCTGCCTGACAGTCTCACTGGAAGGAAACAGCAACAATTACCAAAACAATGCAGTAAATATCACTTCCCTTACGCTAAAGCTACTTTCATGTCCAGAAAAAAAAGCTTTACAAGAATGTGGCATTATTACTGCAACTGAAAGAGATTAGAGACAAAATTAACAACAGCCCCCCTCCTGTGAATCTGACAGCACTGCTGTCCCTGGAGCCTTGTGGCATGCAGGGACCACCAGCAGCAAAGAGCCCAGGATGGGGGGCATTTAGAAAAAAATAATACATTTTGCCACCTCGTTTCTCCAGGAAGGACTCACAGAACACAGCAGCCTGGTCCCACTGTCTTCAAGGTTGGACAGGCCCTGGGCAAACTGAGCAAGTGCTTGATCTAATGGTTGACAACCCCACCCTGGCAGGCGTTTGGAAGTGGGTGGTCTTTGAGGTCCCTTCCAACCCAAAACATTCTGTGATTCTACAAAATCTCATGGGCCCCAGCTGAGGAAGGGCCATGGGATATCAGATGTACTTGAGATGAACACAGCATTGGATGGAGATCAGCAGGCAGCCCAGATGGATGCTGAGCAGCACACCTCTCACCAAGTGATAGGCGGCCAGGAGCTCCTCACCCCCTGCTTCTTGGAGGTGCCTGACGGCAGTGCGGGGCAGAGCACGGTGACGTCTGTATGCAGGTGGGTACCGGGACAGAGAGCGCAAGGCCACAGCCCAGCCCTGGTGCTTAGCAGGCAAACACTCGAGTAGAGATAAGCAAATTAAGTTACGCCAATGTAATCGCTTTGCTGCGAGGCTTTAGCCGTCATTTCCTAACTCATTTTTCCTTAAGTAGGGGGTAAGGGGCTTAAAACAGAAGCAGGGAGAGGCACTTAACAGAGGTTAATATGGCTTCGGTAAACAAAGGATTTTCTATCTATACATGGCAAGTAGAAGCAGACACGCGTCCCGCAGCAGCACGTTCGGTCCCGCGACGTGGGCTGCGGCGCCCTGACCCCTCGGGGAGAACGTAGCACCAGGCGAACACACCTGGCCGCGGAAACAACTCTGCCCTGTGCCAGCAGCCACCTGCCGACCCCAGCTCGGCTCCCACGGACACACCCGCCGCTTCGCTCCGCGCCGAGCCGTGCCTGCCGGCCGAGCGCACGGCCCCCGGGCAGCCCCGGCGCCCAGCACCGCCCGCCCCGGCCCCGCGCAGCCCTACCCGTGAGATGGTGAGGGGCTGCTCGAAGTCCCGGCCGCCCACCAGGCGGAAGCCCCATGGCCCGGGGCCCGTCAGCACGATGCGGTGGGTTCCCATGTGCACGGCTACACCTCGCGGCACGCCCGGCAGCACCGGCTCCGCTCGGCACGGCTCTTCTCCGCTCGGCACGGCCCGCCTCCGGCCCCTCCCCTGGCTGCTCGCCCCACGGGGCTGCCTGCGCGGCTCCAGGAGGAAGACTGAGCCCTGCTCTGCCCTGGAGGCGGGGCAGCATCGCCGGCTGGGCTTCACCGGCGGTGAAAGTTTGGGAAAAAAACAAAAAAACAAAACAAAACAAAAAGTAAAAACAGTCCCGCCACAATTTAAAGTGAGATTCTTCTTACCGCAGTTTGCAAGGCTGAGCATGTCGCGGGGCAGTCTCGGGCTGTAGAAGCGCTGCCTGCCGGCCCGAGCACAACACAGACGGTTCCATGCAGGGAGCGGCACCGCCGGGGTACAACTTCGGGCAGCGCGGCTGTTAACGCAGAACCCAACGGTAGAACTAAGAAGAGGCTCCAAGGGGACCTTGGGGAGAAGAGCACCTTCTCTTTCATTTATCTCTGATTCGTTGTCGCTGTAGGCAAAATTTTCCTTTTTTTTTTTTTTTTGTTTGTTTCTCTTTTTTTTTCCTGATGCCCTTAGGGGCACAACCAAAAGGCAAAGAAAGCATTCTTCCTACCAGCCAGCAGCAGCTGAGGTAGATCACACAGGTGCTGCTTATCTCGCTGCTGGGCACAGGTGAGAAGGATCTGCCCCCTTTCTGCACACATCCACCCTTCAGCAACGTTAATCACTTACACCCTCTCAGCCTCTCCTCACAAGATGTGCACCAGGCCCTGATCACCTCTGTAGTCTCTGCTGAGCTCTTTCCAGTGATTTTGTGCCTCTTTTGTACTGGGTAAGTAGACTGGTATGGAGAGGGACACAACAGAAGTCTTCAGTGGAGGTAGATGTCTCCTTGTGCCCAGGAACACACATGTACTTCCCCCTGTGTCTTTTGGCTCTTGCTGAAGACAGCTGCTGCAGACAAACCAGGGTACCACATCCCTCTCAGCAGATGATTTCTGCCTTCTCTCCTCACTGGGGCCTGCTTAATACCACAGAGCGTGGTGGGGTGCTCTAAGGAATAAGCCCCTTGCACAGGTCACAACGGGAGCTGGCGACTTGGTGCCCTTTCTCTCACCCTGGGGCAGTGGTTTCCCCACACAGAGCCCCAGTCATGCCCTCAGGGAAGTCCACTGAGGAGGGTAAGATGCTACAGCCAGGTTCCTCACCCACTCCAGGCACAACAAAGCAAGGGTTGGGATAGTGGGTGCTGTAGCACAGTGATGGCAGCTGCTCTTCTGCTTTTTCTGCATGGTAGCCTGCAAAACTGAAAAATGTTCCCAGCCCTGCTTGGAACAGCCTTCCTTCACTCTGCTCTGCAGGGATGAGTTGTTTCTGTGAGACACAATCCAGAAGTCCCAGCCAGCTGTTCTGCCAGAGGGCTGGGAGCTGTGGTATGCACACCACAGACTTTGCCTTCAGTCAGCGCTGTGGCAAGAGCTGCCTGGGTAGAGTGCAACTATTTGGCAACCTGAGGGGCTGCAATGCGACACCATCTCTTGCTGGGGTCTGTGTGGACCTGAGTCTCCCAGCCCTGCTTCCCTGAGAGTGACCAAGTACAGCACACATCAGGTTTAGGCTGCACACAAAACCAGGGCAGTAGGATGAGGCTGGAGGAGAGGCATTAGCAGGGAGTTAATATCCTGGAGAGCAATCACCCCATTGAAGATGCCACTTATTGACTCCTGGGCTTCAAGTCCTCTTCAAACTACAGAACTACCACAAAAGCAGCAATGGGCACCAGAGGTCAATAACTGAATGCAGAGGACGCAGCTGCCGCCTGCCACCCTAAGAGAGGGCCAGGGGGTAAAACTACTGGCAAAGGCACCTATAACTTCCATAGGCACAAGGGCAGAGAAGGATCTGAACACTATGAAGTTTCTGCATCGATTCACCTTTGCAAAACACTGGGATCAGGTGTGCTCCTGAGCTGCCAGCTCTGCACATGTTACTGAGGGATCGGGTGTAAAATGTTTTTTTCCTCTGCTTTTACACCTTGTTTTCTTCAAGAATGAGCCACAGCCTGCCTGGCTCATAAGAGAGCCCTGGTGAGGTAAAGCCAAGGTGAGAGCAGGATCTGGAAGCACGGGATGGCAGATGTCTACAGCTCAGAATGGCCACAGCCACTGAGAGCCACAGACAGCACTGGTACAAACGTGCATTGCTAGAGGAATAGTGGGAACAGGCTTTATTTAATAATTTGTACAACAAACACAATAGTAATTCAATACTTCCATTTATTAATTGCCAAATAGTAATCCACTGCAATAAGGAACAAAAATCAACACAAAAATAAGTTGTGATGTGTGTGTGTGTGTGTGTGTGTGTGTAACTTAAAATGGCAAGAGAACAGAAAATAAACCTTTAAATGAGTAGGTTATATACAGTCAGTATTATTGTGTTACTTTGCTGGATAGATTAATTTGGTGCTATCCAATCTTAGCAACAGCCTATGTCTTGCTACGAATAAATGGAAGAAAAAACCAAAGCAGAAAAATACATAAATAAGATGCAGAATTAATGATATCTCCTATTGAAAAGAGACAGTGGTGCTGTCAGTGGTCAGTGTCATATCTGAAACTCTTTCCTAGTGGATATTTTGTGCTAAAACTCTTTATATGAACACACACAGAATTCCATCATTTAAATAAAAGTGGAATAAAATCCCAACCTCTGACAACTGCCTTTCTTTTTCTCCCTTCGCTCAATGCGTTTAAATTATTTTTCTATACAAGGTAAGTACATTGTCTGTACAAAGTTAAATATACATATTTACAGTCAAACTTCTGAGACACTGAGTCTTCTCCTCCGCAGACTGAGACGGAAGACAAGCCTATTTGATTTCAAACCCAGGAGCATGGCTAGTTTATCAAAACATATTGCAAGTCGTGCTAACAGTTAGTTGTAGTTACTCTTAATAAATCTGTATAAAAGCATCAGCATAAAAATAGGCATTTTATATTATTAAATACGGCTTATGACAAAATAGCAATCTAACCTTTTGCTATTTGTATGGTAACTGTAGGAAGCAGAGTCTGATAGAACCGGTTTTGTTTATACTTCTTAATAACAAAGTGTCTATCAAAAGAGTATTCGTAGTGGATTTACAGGCAAGCCACGTTTTTTTCCTCAAAGAAATACAAATCTCTATGACTGGTAACAACCGCTGTAAACACGGCTTTCCAAACTGAGCAGACTTTTTTGTTGGACTAAGGGCCAGTCAAAATGCAGGTGTTTATTGGATCTACCATCTACACTGCAAGAACAACAGAAAAAGGCACCTTCAAAGGCATGTTTCTCAGAGTTATCAGAACCTCTGACATTTAATGCTAGAGAAGCAAAGCCTTCTTCCCAAAGAGCATGCTTCAACTCTTTTTGGGCCAACAAGGGGGAGCAGAGAAAGCAAACAGCCGTAGGACTCATAAACAGGATTTGCTCTCATGGATGTTCTGTTTATTGGTTTTATTCTTTGTGCAGATAAATGTCAAAGCCAGGTTGTTTTCTCTTTAAAAAAACATTACTCCGTTCGTTTTGCTGCACACAGTACACTCACACACACACACACACACCCTGCACAAAAGAAAAAAACCTTGCAGAAGTGGGTAATGTGTTAGGAAAGGGTTTGGGCTTTTTGAGTGTCTGCAGTACACTTTGGCTGACACCTCTGGATTAAACTTCCAGTCCCAAACTCCTTCTCAACAGAGTTCTGCAGTTTAACCACACTGGCTGTCCTCTGCCCATATGGGGTCTTAAGGTGCATGGCATGAAGGAAGGGAGTTCTATGGGAGTGGAAGGCAGAGCACAGTAAGCCTTCAGCAAGGCAGGAAGCCTGGCCTCCCTGACCTCACCAGTGAACGGAGAAGCTGCAAGGTCACGTACTTTCTGGAAGTACTGTCATATCTTAACACACAAACAAAACCTATACCTTTTGCTTCCCTGAAGCCTTCTCAGAAGTAAAGTACTCCATACGAATTAAGGTTATCACCAGAACTCTTGTTGGGGAGGGGAGAGGAATACACAAAGGCAGCACTGTAAACTAGAAACTGTCTCTCCTTCAGCAAACAAATCATACCCTGAATTAGTAGAAGCAGGGCTACACATTCAACTCAATACTGTATCACATAACCACATCCTCCTAACACTTTTCATCTCTTGTCTATTACATTCATAAATTGTCTCTTTCTTCATTGTTTAAAAACACCATCTGAAAAACAGCTCCATCTCTGTCACTGTGGGATTACTGTTACTTTACAGGTACAGAAGCTTCACATAGTTGCCCGGGAAGGTGCCGAATTGCCTTGTTCTCCTGGATGTACCTATAGCAAAATAAAAGACAAGGAAGCCAGAGTGAGATGGAGCCATCCAAGGAAGGCTTAGGGGTTTAAAAGGTCAAGATGGCAGCCCCTGCTGCTTGCATTCATTGTTTTATAAAAATATATAAGAGTCCTGGTCAGAGAGCCTTTTGGTATAGAACAGATCAGAACTAGTCTGCTAATAACCATCTTTGGTCTTTGGTTCTAACAATGAAGAAGGTGGTGGTGATAGCTCCTGGGCCTGTACGCTAGGAGCCAAACTTTGATCTATTCAAATGATCTCAGCTTCCTTAAGAACTAAGGACAAGCCTAGATTTGCACTGTTGAGATGGAGAGCGCTGTCCAGACTTAGTTACTTGAAGCTGCAAGACTTCATTTAGTTTAGACTACCATGTTTAGTTGAGGCTGGATTTCTAGAGACTGCAACTCCAATACAAGTGCTCCTTCTGCCCCCTACTTGCCACCTTCTGTAACTTGTCATGACTCCTTTGAAAAGGCACAGAAACCCACTTTTCCTTGATTCTCTCTGCTGCTCTGCAAACTGTGTGAGCAAGGAGGATCAGGAGGAAGAAGGGAATATGGAAATTAAAAGAAAAAAAAAATTGAAAACCTGGACATATAGAAAGAAAAACAAAGTTCCATTTCCCTGCACCCTAATTTTAATGTTCTCAGTAGGAAAAGATGAGAAATCATCAAAAAAGTTGATTTTTTTCCATTCTGTTTCAATCCTGCAAATGAAAGCAGCTTCTAGATGCTCTGCAAAAATACTCATCTGCATCTCAAAGGCTCCTGCTGCCTGAGAAGCATCACACTTACCCACAAACCAGCCATCATCACATTTCTCCATAACATCAACAATATCACCATCCCTCAGTTCCAGCTCATCATCGTTCTGAGGAGTGTAGCTGTATAGAGCTTGGTAGCTAACTCTAGAATAGAAAAATACCACACGTTAGTCACTGGATTTTGTTCAATACAATCTGGACCTGTATTCCCCATTTAAAAGGTGAAAGCCACTCACATTAGATTGGCTGTTACCACAAAGCTATAGCAGGAATCAGTGTCACACCTGCACTGCATAGGATGCACAGAGCACTTTTGTTTCCCTTGTAGACCATAGACTATAATGACTGCAGCCTTCCTAACATGCTACACCTAGAGACCAGACACCCTACAAATACAAGCCAAAACCTGAATACACTCATTACTTGTCTAAATGAGACTTTAGTTCCCTTGTCAGGCACACAGGCAGGGCCATGAACTGCTAAATGGCAGAGTGAAGGTCTTGAGAAAAATATACTGCCTTGTTTACTGCACTAAGGTTGGATAAATCCTGGTTAAGGAGGCACAAAGTTTAAGATTGAATCCTGCTCTGAGGTAATTATTGCTCCAGAGGCACTCTGTAATTATCTGAAAGGAATCTTATGAAGTGGAAGAAATTTCTGGGCAAGTCCAGATCCCCTGGCTGTGGGAAATGAAAACAGAGTGGATGCAAGAGTTTCCATTCTGCATAAAGATAGGGAAAAGCAAAGGCTCCTTTTAGGAGCCAACTGTCACTGAAACCCAGTACAGTGCAGGCTCCTATTCTCAAAACCAACAGTGAAATGCCCTAGCGAGGTTAATGGCAGCTCCAGGTTTAAACTCAACACAGAGCTTTGAAGATCTTAGCCTGGCTCTCTCATATCATTCAGCCACTAATTCTTTCCTGGACCTGGCACAAAGTGACCAACCTTGGGACTTCTCACTATGCCATGAGAAGCTAAGAACAGGGGTGAACATGCTGACCCATGGCATATGAGCCAGATTAGTGCATGTTAATTCACCTCCAGCTTCAGATACAAAGACACTGAAACAGTCTCCGTAAACAGCATAACTGAAATGCCCAAAGGAGACCCAGTCTTGGAGCATAAGGCCAGTGTTCCACATGCTATACAGACACAAAGGTCCCACTTAGATAGACTTCTCACTATTATGAGGCTATTTTTGTTCTGCAAAGAAAAGCACTAAGCAGTCGCTCTTCCATAATCTGAATTTAACACCTGAGATGCTGAAGCTTTCACACATCCCCATCCTCACCGTAAGTATAAGTCGAGGCCCCTGGAAGAGAGGGGATCCAAAAGGACTTACATGTCTCGTGGTGTTTGACTTCTGTCAGGGCTGGCTCCTTGCTGCTGTGCTTGAGGTTGCTGAGAAATGATGAGAGATGGTTTATGGTCATTAGAGGTCACCTTGTTGCGAGAGTCAAGAGGCTGAGAAATAGTACTGCAGTAATGCACAGACTTTTCTGCAATGTTTATGATCTCATTGCAAACAGCTTCCTGCGTGGTAGGCAGCATTGACATCCAAAAACACCCAAAGAACAGTCAACAAGGGGGGAGGGAAGGGAAAATATAGACAGGAAGAGATGGGACATTCCAGATGCAGTACATAAGTCCAGTAAAAAAAAAAAAGAGTTGTAGATCCAGGTAAACATCCAGGTAGTGGAGTGCAGAAGGGATCCAGGTGTAAGCATGGAAAAACAGGTGAGATATAGAAGAATTTGGCATTTAGTTTGAAGATTTGTAACAAATACATAGACATATATTTTAAAAAGCAGCAGCATAAGAGGTTGCAATTAGATCTGCAGTGGTACTATTACAAATGCAATGAAGTCAGTTCAAGAATGCAAGGTGGGCTGCTCCATTCATGCATTTGGCTTCATTTAGCTTATACCCAGGGACCGGCAGCACAATTAGCCCAACTTCTCATTGATTATGGCAGTTTTTCTAAGTGCTACATTCCCTTCTTCTATTGCAAACAAAACAATGTATTAATAGGTAAATAAATACCTATTTCACAGCTAAAAACGGTGCTGATATTTTATAATCTATTGAGATGTCCCTGTCTTGGTGAAGAAAGGCTAGGACTACACATCTAATTGAAACAGTAGCCTTACCACATAGCTCTTTTCAGACTCTGTGAGATCTGGTCCAGCTCTCAATGAATGGAGGGAAGGCTGTGTGATCACCAAGCAGATGATAAGGAAGACATTTTAGCAGATGTGATACTGGTCAGAATTTAAAAAAATAAATGGTGTGCAGACAACAAAAGAAAATGAACAACTCTTCCCTCCCCATCCCAATACCACTCTTTTTGGACAACAAGATCTTTCATTTAAACAAGACATTAGGGCTACAGTAATGCAATTACACTGCAGTGCACAGAATATTGCAAAGAGAAGGACAGCAAAACAGAAGCTTAGAGCACAGAGCCAAAGGATGAGCTAGAAGATCACGGACAGGGCTACAACCAGACCTGATACATAGTGTCACATTGCATTCCTGTGGTTGGGGGGTGGGGGAAGTGGGGCGGACAAGGACAGAAATACATACTTGAGGGCACATAACCCACTGAGAAGAATCTGCTGCTGTTTTTAGCTAAGTCCTCGGTGACTCTGACACAGGAAAGAACAGTAATTTGCTTGCTTCTTAAATAAAGACCAGCTCAGGTCCTCAGGAGGCACGACGCAGTGTAGCCCCATCAAAATCACTCTAGTTTGTACCCCACAAGGATCTGAGCTGCAATATTGATTCCCAAAACAAAGCAGAGTTTCAGGTCAGAGGAGGCTGACTGAAAGCCTAGCTCCAAACACCATCCAAGAAGCTTCTGGACTCCTTTTCTCCCCAGTCAATCCTCTTCACAGGAACTCCCATATCCCAGGTCACAGATATCCAGAACTTGGTTTTTTTTAGCATGTTTCTGCATATTCAAACACAAGAAGAATGCTGTGTGCATGCTTTAGCAAATGAGATGCCTGAATGAGTGCAGTTCTGGTAATTCAAGCAGTACTGATTAGAACAGGTAAGATACAGAGTAATACCATCCTCTCTGATAATCCAATACAATATTCATCCCAAACTCCACATGCCTCCATTTTTATGCTTTTATACTCTTCATTTATTTCATCAGTGCCATTCATTCTGCTCAAAGACGTGGCTGCACCAGTGGCTTAGGAAAAGGCTTGTGAGCTCATAGCATCCTGAGGCAGCACAGAAGCTGAGGAGAAAGACGACTGACACCTTCAGCCCAAGCATGCACAAGGAGTCTGGAGAAGCATAGGGTGATGAGCGGTATTTCCCATTCTCAAAGCTCCTATGAACCACCTCTTGGATCTCTAGGACTGTGTTCATCACTGTACTAAAGATAATTGACTCTCTTCTCAAAGACTGTGATCCACTCTATGCCAATCCAACCCCACAACTCCTTCTTCTTCATAAGTCTTGCTGTCTCGGGCTGGAATCTGGGTTCGGTGCCTTAAAACACAATGCTCTATAACCATGTGCATAGTGTGAAAAATAAAATAAGAGAGAAAATAAAATGTAATTTGGATAGGCTAAATGGGGAGGAACTTGCCTTCAAAGCATTTACTGTGAAGCCTGAAATCACAGCAGAATATACAGAAGTCATTCCTGTCTGCCTATCATCAGTTCTGAAGGGCTAATAGCATAATTAGAAGTTTAAAATTAATATTTTACAGAGCAACAGGATATAGTGCATCAAATCTGATAAGATCAGAGTTAACCCAGGCGGTGAAGTATCTGGAAAAAACAATTTCCATCATGAGGTGAAAGGTAGCTGTAAGAACGACTTCTTTTTAATTCAAGAAAGTGCTTCTTTGTTCCTCACTAATAAATTGACTGCTGCAATTGCTCCATGAGCTTAAGACCATGCGGTCCATTTCTCACTGATTATTTGCGACCTCTCAGACGAGCTTTTCTCTAAAAAGCATTAACAATTCTGAATTAAATTACTTACTTGAGAGCTAAAGAAATTAGCACTACCTCAGAATGCATTAACAATCCATCAGGACCACTCAGCTCCCACCCTCTGGGTCACACTAAGTACTTTGCTAACACTTAAGTGTTTCTGCCTCCATCCTACACAAACATGGTATAGCCAGTTCCAAAGCACAGCTGGCCACTGTTTCCACCTTGTACAGAATTTGAGGATGGATCTAAAGAGCATCACAGGTTTGTAGAAATACCAGAAAGATGTTCTATGTAAAGAGCCTAGAAAGGTCCTGAGATAGGTTTTGTGCTCTTAGGAAGAAAGATCCTGGGACGACTCAGCAGCACTTCCCCTGTTCCTAGCAGAGTCATCAGCGTGTCCAACCACAGCAGCACTTGTTTGTATGTCTTCTTCCAATACGTTTCTGGTGTGAGTCAAAAGGACTACATGAGCAAAGAGAAAGCTAAGCAGAACAGACTGACATGACACACAGAAAGAGGCAGAGACACAGGCATCCCTTCAGAGATGGGCATGCAGTAGGGCTGCTCCTGCACATGGATGGAGAGCCATGAGCAGGAAAGACTGCCAGTCCTCCAGAGTGAAGGAAAACCACTGCATATATCAGATCCCAGCTCTGGTGGGAGTGAGGGAAAAGCTGGCCCAAGAGCTCTCACAAAGGGCACTGAAAAGCTTGCTCTGCACTGCAGCCAGCTGTAAAGGCTGGCAGAAACCATGGAGAGACTCCTTGGCCACTGGATTGGGAGCTAAAGGCTCACACATGTGCTAGCACCATTGAAAATTCATTTGACATTTAATATCAAGTTTCACTGGAATACTGAAAAAACATCTGTTAATTACACTTGCCATATTTTTCACATGCTATGGGCTTGCTCTTTTATCTTTTTTTTCTGATCAGTTTGAACTGTGAAACTAAGAAAAGGGAATAATTTTATAATATTTAGAAGAGCCCGTGCTCTTTACATTACTGCTTAGTGGAACAGGCAAGAACACAGCCTTTAACCCAGCTCTGCATCTAAGCGGTCTTAAAACGACAAGAAACCTGGGTTTGAATTTCATAACCTGAGAGATTATCTTTTACGAGCAAAATATGACATTTAGAACAATAAAATACCTCAAACCTCAGGGACAGACAGTATTGAAAACGAAGCCAAATGCAACGGCTCGCTTGCACGTCTACTAAATGCTCTTCTCATTTAATTAAATTCAATGGAAAGAAGATAGATTTTGAAAATGCCCCCGGGTCTGCTGAAGCAATTGGCCTCTGTATGGGTCATGCAGGTAATGGGAAGTCATTATATATGTATGTATGTATATACAACACCACTGCTGCTCCCCAAATAACTGCAGGCCCAGAGCTGGAAAGGAGGTCAAGGCCGGCAGCTGTCAAACTCAGCGTTAACTTGACACTGACAATGGGCTGATTGTCAAGGCACACAACATATAAAATGTGCCTTGACTTTAACTCCAAAGAAGTGCTACAGTGTCCATTGCGACCAGGTGCAGCACCCGAAATAGAAGCGCATGAGAGACAGCGTGGGACATGAGGAGAGTAAAGGTAACAAAAATTTCAGAGTTAAAGCCAGATCTCAGTCTCACAAAACGTCCATTAAAGTAAGAACACTGGCATCTACTTCCCACACTCACTCAGCATGAACACGGTTCACTGATGAAGCCAAGACTGCTACCCCCAAAACCATCACTAGAACTCTGCCTGGCTTTTGCTAACTGTGAACTTTCTGCTTCACACACTGCCATCGTGTGGGGCTGCGGGGAAGGACTGACAGCCTCCAGCAGCGAGTACTGCTCCCTCCTGAGCCGGCAATGCTGCACAGACACAACTCTGTCGCTCTCTAAAGATGACTGCAGGTGTCACAGAATCACAGAGTCATTACAATTGGAAAAGACCTCTAGAATCACCTTGTCCAAACGACAACCCATCCCCACCATGCCCACTAACCATGTGCCTCGTGCCGCATCCACCCTTTGCTTGAACACTGATTCCAGCACCTCCCTGGGCAGCCTGTTCCAATGTGCCACTCTTTCTGAGAACTTTTTCCAAATATCCAAACTGAACCACCTGGGAAGGCTGAGACAGGTCCCCAACATTGTGGACATCAACCTGAGTTGTCCTATCGCAGTTCTGAGACACTCTGGCCCTGAACCCCGATCTCAGGAAATTAAACAATGCCTGAATGAAAGTACCACAGGTGATATTGTTCCTGCTAACAAGGAAGGCACTGATATTGCCTTAGAATGAAATTAAGCTGTAGAAACACAACGTCAGAAATAATCAGCAGCTGAAGTACTAAAAGTTCTGAGCTAATCCTTCAGAGGAACAGAAAATCAGATCTCCAGCTGGTACAAACCTGGCAGAAGCTCACTGACCTGCAGTTAGGTGGATTTACACCAGAGGATTTTGTCCATACCTGCCCTTCTGCACAGCCTGGAAACTGTTTAAATTGCACAACCTGGAAACTGTTTAAATTGCTTGCCTTTTTCTATTTTTTTTAAATAAAAATGCTTAATTAAATGACAGGAGAAATATCGTGTGTAGAATCGTTGAATGGATAGACAAGCATATGATAAAACAATGGCATGGCATGGAAACAACTGTAAGCAATGGAAGAGTAATCAGCAAAGATGATTACCTGTGGCTTATTGACTCTACGTGTAAGTCTGGGAGGTGGCTGTGTTGTGACAGTAGAGGAAGAGAGGGCAGAGGAAGAGAGAGGAGCAGGTGAAGAGAAAGCTTTTGAGTCTGCAGTCTTTTGAAGAAAAGAAAAGTTCATCAGCTTGACATACACACTCTTATCACAGTCATTGGTAGTGATAAGAACACCTGCTATGCTGTAAGATTTGATGCACACACAGCAAACATAACTCCATGCAAGGGCAGATGCAGTTTCCTAGTTGGTTCGTTAGACCTTACCACTTCATTCTGCTTAAAACATGCAGGTTATGCCCGTAGAAAGCACTGCTAAAAATATATGCAGTCGGTAAACAGCATAGTCTTAATACAGCTTTCAATATGCTTCTGGTTATGATTCAAGCAGAAATCAAACAAGTTGTTTGAAATCAAACAAGATTTCCCAGTGTGAAATGTGTCATCGTAGAAATCACAGTCCCTCACTATTTAACACTGGCTAGATGGGATACGTCATGGAGGCAATCACATTCCATCGAGAAGCTGTTTGTAACACTACGATTTTGAGCTCCCCAAATTCCCGCTCCTGTACAAGTTAGCACGGAAGTGTTGTAATGTAGTTTGGATGGCTGTAGCCCATAATGGACACTAAGACAAGCGAGAGCTTCAAAGTAAGGCAGATCTCCATAAACCAAGACTGAGGACAGAAAATGTTGCAGAAGCTACTAGAAGGTTCCCTTATCTTCCTTCCTGTAACATATGCCTACATATACCTAAATACTCTTGGGAGTATTACACATGGAACCTTTTCATGCAATTTTCAAAATGCAAATTTAATAAATTCCACTCAAAGCACAGATAGCAAACAAGCCTCCCTGACTTAGCCATGCACATCCCAGACTGGGAATCACTAATCCACAGTCTCCAGGATCATCCAGTCTGTATTTCCTCAACAAGGCATAGCTTTTGTGGTTCCAGAAGCCAGGCTGACTATTATAAGATATTTCAGTGCTTGGCTTTAAGGGGAAGGAATAAATCCCACCACCAAAGATGGTCCATTGCACACTGGAAAATCTTTAAATAGCAAATAATTGCTTGTATTCTAGATGGTGAAGTACATGAGCAAGAGGCCTGTATGACCCTTTTATCTGACTCTTTTATCTAGTAATAGCTGTTGTCTGGCATGGTCACCTTGTTAGATATGGCCAATTGAGTCAGTTCTGTGCTACACTACTCCTGAGCACTCTTCTGAAGGTTTCTGATCTACTGCCCAGGGAATGCCACTGGTGAACCTTGGAAGAAGGTCTTAGGATCATTAAAAGGACAAGTGGCAGCCACTGGCTCTGCCTGAATGGCAGAGTAGCACAAACCTCAACACACCGGTAAAGTCAGGCATTCAGAGTAGTGCACACACATGCAGGAGAAGTACCTTCTTTTCCCCGCCTTGAAACTTTCCCAGATCACCTCTCCTCGTGCCTCTTTTCTCTGCTTTACCTCCCTGCACAATAGCCATTAGCTCCTGACACAACTGGTTGTCCTCAGAGGAACTCACAGGTCTCCTTTCTGGGCTTGCACGCATGTCTAGCTGGGATGGTTTCAGACAGCGCTCCACAGAGATGTTGGGAGCAGCACGGGAACCCTGCTCAGGGTTGCTGCTGCCCTCTCTAGTCTTCTGGAGCCAGGCCTGGCTGCCAGGGGTGCCGTGCTGCTCTGTGAGGATGCTCTCAGGGCTCCCGCCTGCCCAGCGAGGGCAGGGAGAAGAGGAGCCACCAACCTTCTCTTTGCTTTGCGGAGCAGCCTGGTAGTAACTGCGAGTGGAGGGCTGAGGCCCAGATGAGTAGAAGGGCAAGGGGGATTTAATGGACCTTGGAGTTGAGGAGCCAGAGAGATGAGAATGGGGGAGGCTGAACGAGGGGGAAGGGCTGGCTACAGTAGGAGGTGAGAGAGAGTCAGTGTGGGAGAGGGAGGCTTCAGGCAGAGAAGGCAATGGAGCAGTTAAGGCAGGAGTGGTGCTAGGAGACACTCCCACAGTCAGAGCAATCCACTCGGATGTGACTGCCTGCACCTCTGGAGACAAGGCACGGCGTGAGAAAGGCAAAGGCGGAGGAGTTGGTGTATGGAGCAGCTCAGAGCTGGGAGACTTGAAGGAGACAAAAGCAGAAGAGAAAAAGAAAGAAATGAACAAAAATAAGAAAGGAAAATAAAAAAAACTATTGAACAAAAGCAAAAGAAAGTGAGCAAGCATGGAGAGCAGCAGATCTACAACCAAGCACATGCCTAAGTTTTCCATGGACAAGCGTACCCTGGAGACAGCTGGAGAATCTGCTGTCCACAGCTGCTCCAACCATGGAGTCCTGTCCATATCTGCATTGGTAATACCTTTCTCCAGCCTTTGCCAGGATTCCAGATGTCTTGTGGAAGACCTTATACTTCTTACTGTTAATCCTAAGTACCTTAAGGAGTAGCTAAAATCACCATCCATGATGGCAGCATGCAGCATCTGACTGGCCTGGCAGTAACACAGGGGACTTTGGCAGCTCATATCATAGAATCAGTCAGAATTCAATAGCTGCAATGAATTTTGAGTTTATCCAACTTTACATTGAATAACACCTACCCCTCAAGAAATTTGCATTGCTGAAGCTGTGGAGGAGAAACAAATTAAAAGCAAACAAACAAAACAACCAAACAAAAAAAAACCAAACAAAAAAAAAAAAACAGCTATGGCTATTTGGTCTTTGGCTGAAGTCCTGTGTTTATAAAGGCAGAACACAGGTCCAAAGTCTGCCCTTGGCTGTTGCCATCAGTGAGACCAGCTACGTGTACAGAACAGATCACTGTTTCTCAGTCCTCTGCCATGTCAGACAAAAAAAGTAAGGAAGAGAACTGCTATACTCCAAGGGAATCAAAAGGATAGCTAAGGAAACCAAAAGAGGTTGGATATAATCCCTTCCATCAAAGAGAGAAGCTTGCAGAGAGCTAGTGGCAGACAGGCCACAGCTACACAGTGACAGCCAAGCTCAAACAGAAAAACATGGCTGTAGACCACTTCAACAGCAAACCCCAAACAAGCAGCAAGCCTCTCCTCTTTACACAGTGGCTAATAACAAAAGCACTCCTTAAGGGAAGATCCAGATAGACACCATGCAAAAGCCATGGCATCCTGTACTGTATATCCTCTCCTCCTGATCTCAATTCTCCACTTTAATTCCTTGCAGTCTTGACCTCAGAATGGCCTTCGATGGTCCTGTGACACATCAGAACCTCACGGCCCCACTCCAGACACATATGCTGACATTTGAGCATGAGTATTTGCAGAATGAGAGCAAAACATACAGATTTAGAGACTCACTGCCTCCCCAATACATATTCCACGGCAAACGTTCTGGGACTCTTAGATTCCCCATGCATTTATCTGTTGCCATTTTGATTTCTGGTTTGAACTGTAGTAGAGCTTGCAGTTAATCCAGTATTCATGAAAAATCCCAGGTTAGCTTGCTCTCTAAACTTGAGTTCACTTAGTACCAGTCACAAATAATACAGAACACTCTTGTGACTCTGTCTCCTAAAACCTTGATCCTGACCTGGAACATTTTGGAGTAAGGGTCCAGCTTGATTCAAGCTGTTTGCAATCAACCATAGTGACTGGACCATAACAGTCCATGATGCCCTGGAGGTCTGTAAACACCCCAGAGGAGAAGCTGATCAACTATATACTCATTCCATTTCTGGCAGTGTAATCATAGCCATTTCACCCTGGCCTGAATTAAAACTACAGATAAGTGAGGAAAAGCTCAATCTCTAAATCTCTAACTGACCCATTAATTAACCTTTCTGGTAAATGAAACATCACCTTTTCTTGCAGGGAGCACTTAGGCTTTACTGCAGAGAATACTAGTGTTAGCTAGAGCTTTTTCCAGCTACTATTTCTAGCATAGTAATGGCAACATGCCCCTGTTGTGCAAGGTGCGTTTACTGGCTGCATCTAGTCCAAATACCTGTGGTGAAGCTGTCACGCTGCGGTTAGGGGAGAGTGACACAGGTGGGTCTGGATATTCAATGGCATTCTTGACCACTGGCCGTTTGAGCACTTCCACATAAGTTACAGGGAAGATGCCTTGGCGACTGGTGCCAGAGATTCTTCCTTCATACCAGTTCTCATCCACTCGTCGAATCAACGTGATCCTTTCACCCTGTTGAAAGAGCGGCAATGAAGTCAAAACAGATTACATTTTTAATCTTGCTGCAATCAAAACAATCTGTGGCTCTCAGCCTTCCTTATTTCCCAGTTATGTAGCCCTTACCCTAACCTCTGGGTGGGAATGATACTCTTCAGTTAGAGAAGAAAGAAACATAGACCCTTTGGTGCACTTTTTGGACTGCCTACAGGTTATGTTCATCTCACATTTTCAAGACTATACATACTGAAGTTAGCTTAAAAATGGAAAACAGAGGCTGTAGTCTGACTGTGAGATCCTTTAGGGGTATGAGAGGTACATGGAAAATGCACAGGTCTGCAGTTTAAACCAGATCTCTCTATGCCCTCTCTCCTGTTTTGTTGACAAATGAAGTGACTTTCAGATCCTTAATACGAACTATAAGCCCCACCTTCACACATAATTAAAAGACAGCTGACAAGATCTAATTTGAGCATCATGAAAACAGGATGCTGGTTGAGAAAGAGAAATTCTGCTGTTTAAATGTGTTTGACTGCACTGAACAGTCATTACAGAACTAATTCCTATTCTCTGACTGCAATCAGATCTAGGAAGTCACTTCAGCATGACAGAATGTCGCCTGCCTTGCCTCGTTTAATGACTTGGTTTGTAGTGCGAGGGAAGGGGAATCTGGCTTTCCTCTTATTGAATCACCATTCTCACAAGACTGTGCACCTCCACTGGAGAGGATCATACTGCAGACATGTCATCAAATATTTAATTTTCTTTGCACAGCCCAGCTTACAGCATTTGCACTCCAAGTATCTTCTCAGCTAAACCTAAGAAAGCAATTGGCACTTCTTGATTCAGCTGATCTGCAACACTCTCATCACAATACACAACAGTAGGGTAAAAACATGGGTGATGAGGGTGAATCCTTGACAAAAAGGTTGATCTTACTGTCATTTGGACAGTATTCCATCCATTTGGAAACAGAAAGTTACTGGCATTACAAAACTTTTGTCTGGACTCAATTCATCAGTGCAACTTACGTCTTACCTTTCTGAAAGACATTTCTACTTGAGTATCACCATTGAAGTTGAACTTAGCAATAGCATCTCCATATTCCAATACTTGCAATGGTAATGGCTTTTTGGGCTGAGCTTTCTCAGCTGGTGGGAGAAGCTAGAATGAACAAACAAAATCAAGAGAGTTGCATGAAAAAAGCTCATAAAATCATCACTAGCAAAAAGGGAATGGGCAAAGAGAACACCTCCAGGGTAAGCAGCTACCTCTATATAGGATCGTGGGAAGATGCCAACTCTGCCATGGTGTTCACCTTCATACCAATTCTGGTCAATCTGCTTGTAAATGTAAACAATATCTCCTTTTTGCAGAGGAAGTTCCCTGTTAACAACACAAGTACTCCATCAGAATTCCACTGGAGATCACATGGGTTCTTTTTCTGTTCAGCAACTCCTAAGTAACAAGATCTGCAACATCCCTATAGATACACATTATGCTCCAATCAAAGTGAAGGCTATATGTTGAGAATTACCCTGTTCACACCATCATGTGCAAAGAACTCTCTTGCTCTTTGTGTATTCTGTTAAAAAAAAAAAAAAGAAACAACCAGACTTATGAGGGCCCTACTGACTACACATCCTTCCAGCAGCAGTGGGGTCAAACTCAAGCAAAAGGTGCCACTGGCTGCTCTCCATGTTGGATATGGTGGGAGGACTGGAAGCTGTGCTCAGTTCCTGCTTCAAAACTGGTCATGACACAAGAGCCTTCCAAAATGACACATGATTTTAATGGAAGGTTGTTTAGAGATTAGATGAACCCTCAATCACACAGAAGTCGATTCTGTGAATATTACACTTGGGTCAGCCAGTGGCTGTGCAACCACTGACCTCATGTGGGATAACAGTTGGGATTTGAATCCAGAGTCTTCAGTGCTAGAATTGTGAAGAAGGTACTCATATTGTAGTCAGTTTGTACCAGGCTCATAAGCCTACTGTGTGGTTCCCGATGGAAAAACAAGCAACCCAGACTTTCCTATCATAATTTTCACAAGCTCTGCTTTACTTTTGTCTGATACCTCGCATGTTCTCCTCAAGGGACATAATAGTTAGCCCTTGCATTTGCTTCAGTTTTTCTGCAGGTCCTGGGGTCCAATGCTTTGTAAATCATTATAAATCATCACCTATAGATATATAACAAAACCATCCCAGGGCAGCACCTGAGCAGAAAATCAGTCACTCATTCACTGAATTCTGTTCTTTCTTCCTTTCCTAGCAATGTTAAAATGAGACCCTCTCAAGGCTTGTGCAAGATTCATATTATTTTTCCCTGCCCTGCTGCAGACACCTTGCTTGGGCTGAGTACTGAAATGTGAATTCTAATTCTATGAAACTTCATAAATGCAGCATCCTTGAGGAAAAGACAGAAGAAGAACAGTAAGAGCAATAGGAACAAGTTATACTCACTTCAGAGTCTGTGCTTTGAAGTCAAACTTGGCTCTAGCAGGTCTCATCTAGAGATCAGGAAAAAAAAATCAACACAAAGATAATAATCAGGTTTTCCATCCTCTTCTGAGGAACAACACGCCAAACTCTTCTACAGCTAGCATTAGTCTAGGGATGAAAATGAACACAGGTGTTCTGCTACAAGCTTATGTGCAACTGGTCCTACACTGTAAATATGTTGGATGGGTCACTGGGCCTCTTACCAGGGCAAAAAGTGCCAACTTGTGGTATAACAGCACTTAAATAGGACTTAACAGCAGCAAATCTTAAAACGTGACCAATGCTGGTGAATAAAAGCTGCTTCAGTAACTACAGTTACAGAGGCTCTGGGACTAAATTCTCCTCATGGAGAGGATCGGTGTGCAAAATTCACCAGCTGGCAAAAGAAGAAGGTAGGATTTTATTTGATGTGGCTCCTTACTGATTATTATCTGGCCCTGCTGAATCCTGCAATGTGATCCAAGTAGAATTGGTAGGAAAGAGACAAAGGTGAGAAGGAAGTATAAATAAATAAAATGTGTTCATTAAAAATATCTTCAGTAGCTATAAAGCCAAAGAGGACATGCTGAGAGCAGGCCTAGGCTTTAAAATTTCATTTATCTGGCTCATTTTCTAATTGCCATAGAACATTTGGACAATTTTCAAGTCATTCTGGTAATGAAGCATAAAATAAGTACTAGTTGCATTTATGGAGTGTTTGAAATGACGTAAGCAAAGGGCAGAAATATATAACCTATCCAAATGGTGATCTCCTCGCCCACCGCCACACTGCACCTCTGGGGAAACAAAGCAGCTGTAAGAGCCACAGAAGCATCCCCTAAGGCAGGAGGTAGCACCTGGCCAGCACACCTGGCCCAGCACCCAGCCCCAGGGAGAAGTGGCTCAGCCTCACAGAAAAACCATCCATCTCCTCCTTTGTCTCTTTCAAAAGACCGATCGGGTCGCACTCAGTGAAACATGCTGAGCCTTTTTTCCAGTTGTTTCCCAAGGACATGAAGCAACTTTTGATAGGAGATGAGGCAATCTATTTCTAACAAAAACTATGAGACAGTCACATGGCCAAGGTCAACAAGGCATGAAGTTTCTAAGCATAAGGCACAGACAGAAGGCAATGTAGCAATATGATGCAAAGGATGTAGAATGCCTTTGATTCACTAAAAGTAGCTGATATTTAAAGGCATGCATCACATGTGTGCGCCAGCAATTCTCAGCAGGCATGCTTTAACATATGCAGCTTGGTATAGAGATACCTATTAATTTACCAGGCACGAGAGTCAAAGCAGTTCTAAATGAAGCCAGAATGGGAAAAGGGAAGGGGTAAAAAAAACAAACAACATTCTCTGAAGAGCTAATGTCGGCCTAAAGCACAACGTCGTGAGAGGCAAATATTGCTTTGGGTCAAGCAGCAGACTGAGGTAACTAAAACAGACCTCTGACCCAGATTTCCTCTTTGCTGTATCGTCTACATTTAGGAGGTCCCCAAATCGCTCATTAGTGATAAACTGATGGTGCGTTGGAATGACCCCTGTGTGCCTTCTAGCTGCAATATCAGCTTCTTCTTGCTCACGTTTAAGCCGTCTCTGGTCCTCTAAAAGTTTCTGCCATAAAATTGCATAAAATGGGCAGTAAATCATCTAGTTAAGGCCATTTGAAAGCTGCCACAAATGTGACTTTAATAAAATAGCTGGGACTTTACAGTTTAACATAGAATACTGATTCAATGAACACAATACCATTAGATTTAGCAGGCACAAAAGTACATCGCAGTAATGGCATAATGGAAATCCAGCTCATAGAGTGGATCTGATCCAAAGCTGATGGAAGTCAATGGGAGTTTGTCTAAGCTTGGGCCTGGCTCTGAGAGCTTATTAGATAAGGGGAGGCTGCAGATAATGCAGATGGCTAACAAGGAGTTTCTCTCATTGACATCCAAGAGACCTGAATCAGCTGCACACATAAGCTGAGGCACCAAACTCCCCTGAGCTCTGAAAGGAGCTTGGGAGAGTGTCTACCCACACCCAGGTGCCAGATTCCCTCATTCTTCCTCTGGGGTCAATTAATGTATTTCTGTACTGCTCTATAATTTGAAATCAGCAGGTGGAACTCAGAGCCCTGCTCTTAGGTGAGTTTTCTTGCTGGATTTTGACACTGGGAGCATTACTAATGGGAGAAGACAGCAAAAAAATATTGTTTACATCGGAGTTAAGAACCTTTTACCCATATTTCAAAACATACACAAACACTTGAGCTCAGAATGGTAGTACGATTCTTCATTAAAAATACTCCTTGGTTTTATTTCATTTTACAATTATTAATTACTTTTGCAAACAGCTTTCTGGAAATCAAACACTTTTTAACTTCTTTAGCTCTGTTTGAATACTCCCTGTGCTGAAAATTCTGTATTGCTTTCTTATTATTCAGTTTGCCCATACATTATCTAACCATTTTGAAAAGGACTGACACATTCTGTTGACAATATGACACATCAAAGAATTCTAGTTTGTACCAGGGAAAAGCTTCCCACTTACTGATGGCTTGGAATGTCTTACATTTTCTACTCAAAACCTGAGGGCTCCCACAGGAAATGAACATTCTGACCAGTCTGATTAATACTGACTCAGGTGGCTTGCTTGGAGAACAGTAAAAAATTAAGTCACTTGTAGAATAAACATTTCATCTTTATCTGCAAGTCCTGAGGTGCTGCACTACATCTCACATACTTATCCAACCTTTTTACATTCTTTATAACCCCTCTACACCATTCTGTGCAACTGACACAAACTGTAAGGTTCATTTTAAACAAAAGGTAAAGGGAACTATGCATCACACAATAAATCAGCACTAGAAGCAGTATTAAAACTAAAACTTTCTAGCTCCCGTTTCTTGTTCTAACTTCCAATATACATATCAGTCACCATATAATTTGTCCTTTAAAAAGGGTTACAGCTGTATTTCTTGTGTGTGGAGCTGCAGTAGCTGTTATTAGGCCATAGAAGAAGGCATTACCTCTTTATCATCATAACGCCTGCGGATAATTTCTTCTGGGGTTTCCATGTAATCAACTGGTGCAAAATGCCTTGGTGATTCTGAATCTACTTCGAAACAACATAAGGAAGTTAAAATACAAATGGATTTACCTAGCATAACCAGAAAGGAAAAAAATAAATATTTTTAAACAATTTGCTTCCATTAAAATAGTAAAGATTCTCAATTGCCACTAACTAAATTGCCAATCAGATGTCGATAATTTATCTATTTTCATTTTTTTCCCTTTTGGGCTGTACTTGTTAACAAAGATCTAAAAACAGGGAGAAAATAAAGGCACGGGAAATAGTAAAAACATAGAAGGACTTGTGAAGAAAAGATTTGCTGCCATCAAAATATGATTTGGCATTTAACTGCAGAGGAAAGTTTAACACACACACACACACACACACAACCAGACCTTGAGAAACTGCTCCTTAAAGCAAATCATATGGGTTTGTTTTATACTCCCATGTGTGCAAATGATACAGGACTAGAAATATCTCATGTTGAGATTCTTGTATCCCAGGAGTTGCTTGAGAGACCAGCTGAACCCGGTGTGATTAGAAAGGCAGCGGTAACCGTTTCTCAGAAGTGCAGCTGTTTACATGTCCTGAACAAAAATGCTCAGCAAGACACGCAAAGGACGTAAGACACACCATTAAAAAAAAAAATAGGGAGAGTCAGGAGATGCAAGGGTGGGGAGTAAAAATGCAAGGGTTGTGAAAGGAAGGAGAGGGAAAGCAATACAGATGAAGGGACAGTGGTAAAGAACACAAAAAGCCACCTCCTAGGTACGTCCCAAGTTCACTTTGCGGGTTGTTGTTTGTGTCCAAGCTGTGATAGAGGGCATATGGAATTGGGTTCCCATTGTGTAAGGAGTCAGGAGTGTCAGAGCGGCCCATGGAGCTATCTCGGCTAGATCCCGTGCTGGGGAAGTAGCTAAGCCTCTCCACAACATCAAAGGAAGACAGGCGCCTGGGGGCTAGAGGCCTGCTTCTGGAGCACAGCTCATGCTGGAAGTGATGACTCTTGTCTCCTACACTCCCCTGCAGCTGTATGGGGTCATCTGGGTTCTGGGGGCTGGGCACTGCCAGGGCTCCAGGGCAGTCTGGGGGTGGAGTCCTGCTGGACTTGTGCTGGAAGGGCTTTTTCACTCGGAAGGGAAGTGGGCTCATTAGGTAGACATTTCTGGGGAGCGTGTGTCTGTCCCCATAGATTCCTTTGGAATCAGTGTTCCTGATGGCTTGCTGCTGCTCATGCCTTCGGATGGTAGTGAACCTGGTGTAGGAAGCTGGGCATGTGCCTTTGCATCTGTTGACTTTATGCTTCTGAGGCCCATTGATGTTGCTGTTGCTGCTGCCACTGTCATTGGATGCATTTGAGAGGAGATCTATCTCGTCTGTGCAAGCTGAAAGTGTGTCCATAGGGATAGCATCACTGACATCTGAAGCTGTGTCCTCCACATTGCTGCAGGAATGGGAGGATTTGTCTGCCAAGCTGGCAGCATCCTTCTCTTCTTGGTTTATTTTTGGCAAATCCAGAAGAATCTCTGCGGAGTAGGCAGAACCTAGACAAGCTTGAGACTGGAGAGAAGTAGTGAATTTGCTTTGTCCAGTGGAAAAGTCAAGTGCGGGCATCGATCGGGATCTCTGGATCAGCTGTTCAAAGGCACTGATACGGGAGGAAACAGTGTCTTTGGGGATCTGCTCTGAATCCTCTCGACTAAGGCTGTGTTCCATCCTGTCCTTTGCTTCGTTCTCAAATTGAGATGCAATGTCCCTCACACTGCAGGAGGAGATTGTGCCCAACTGGATCCTGGACCGGTTGATCTGGTGCATGTCTTTATACAGCACTGTAAACTCCATTCCGCTCTTCCTGGAGGCAGGGAATAGGCAGCCTTTTCTAGAGTTGGTGCCATACTCCTGTAGGCTCATGGTACTGCCAGACTTGATGACATATTCCTGCTTTGACTTCATCAACATGTTTTCTATGCTTTCCCCTACGTCTACCATAAAAGACTTTTTATTATCAAACAACGCAACGGAGCTACGAAGGTTTTCACAGCTTTGAGCTTTCTCATGAGACAGCAAGATACCCTTCTTGTCCTGCCCAAGAGCAGCTGGAGCTGCTAGCTTGGGTTTGAATTTAGAAGGGAGGATTTCAGTAATGCAGGCTTTTGCAGCTGATAAGGGCTTCTTATGTTTACATGCGTGACCTAACATACCGGTATGACTAGCGTTAAAGGTTCGGCTATTAACTGAAGAGGGTGCAGTCATATGAGCATTCCCACCTTTACGATCCACTGGTAAGCATGCAGAATAAAATAAATACAACCTGTTAGCTTAAGTGCTAGAAAGCTATTGAGAAAGGAGAGAAAACATGCTTGGATTTCATAAAATGCACTTTAAAGAAACAACGTTCCAAAACATAAAGAAAAGCAGGAAGACACTGCACAACAAGCCGCGCTCACAGAAGTAGGTGAAATGCTGCTAATAGTTCTAAGATGAGAGGCTCAGCCAGAAGTGCCTGCTGCACTTTGAAGGTATTGTCCTAAAAAGTTCTGAGCATCATCAGCTTCCAGGGAAGCGGTGGCATCACGGAAAAGGGCAGCTGAACTCTGGGCGGGATTAAGGTGTCAGCACGAATGCACAGGCACTAACATTGCAAAAGTGGCTTAATATTAAGCCTGTAATCACACCTACTATGTTCTCACCATAGTGCTTTCCAAAAAGTTAACTACTGAGGGAGAAGAAAAATCAAGGGCTGACTGTGCAAGCACAAGCAGGCTGCATCAGCTGGCCTTACCCAAGAGCCAGATTAGAGATTCCCCATGCTAGGAGCAAACTGAGTATGCTTCAGAATGGTGTGAGCCATGTTTCCTTTAAAAATCAAGGAGTCAAATGAGGACATTTTCTAACATCAGATCCAGTCTGGGTTCAGCTGTGACTGCAGTTTCTTAGATCTGTTTCTGATTTGAGTACATATTAAGATGTCAAAATAGCCATTCAGGCTCAATTGCTGTTTGGAGAACAATAAATTGAACAGATTTTTTCTGTTCAGCTCCAGTTTAACTCCCTGCCCCAAAGGCTGGACATAGTGCTGAAAAAAATAGCTGGAAAATGGAGACAGAGACCTTTTTGGTGTGAACGCACTATTTTTAGGAAGAGCAGTTCAGAAACCCAATGCATTCTTTCCCCAGTCCTCTCCTCATCTGAAGCCATTTTTAGGTTGAAGTTGGCTCAGAGATACATTCCCTAACACAACTCCCTGACTGGAGCCAGCTCTTCCTTGACTTAATCTTCTAGAGAGCCCACAATGGGGGGAGGAATGGGGAGATGAACACAACAGTCTCTGCTGCCTTGCTGCCTCACAGATTGCAGGGCACTGCTGTCTCAATGTCCTGTGCATTCTCTGCACACCCCTCAGGCAGGAGGCTGTGGAGCACATGGTGCCAGCTACCCCAGGGCATCTGGGCCAGCAGAAATGCTGTGGCCTGCTGAGAGATCCAATAGAAAGAGCAGAAAAGGCAGGGAAAGGCTGTAGCATGACAATGCATGGTGCAGATGGACAGCAAGGCCAGATCAAGCAGCCTGGAGGAGTGTGAAGGTGTGGGACAGAGGGAGCTGGTCCCTGCTGTGATGAGGAACCTGGATCAGGTAAAGGCATCATGAAAAACACTGGTTGGTGTGGGCTGAGGGAGAAAAGAAAGAAAACTAGAGATGGCAAAGAGGAAGGACAGAGGAACCCTCAATTGGCTTGAGCAGGACTGTAAACCCTGCAGTGCTTTGCTCCATATCACCATACTTTTGATAGATTGTACAGAATGGAGGTCAGGTCCACACCCTGACAACCCACCTTTTGTGGAAGCAGAGCTAGAAGGACGCTTGAGACCACTCAGCCCCTGGAACGGGATATCTCCACCTTCCAGCACACTCTTGTAAATCTGTCTCTCATTCTCCAAGCCAGCAAGGTCCCCCAGTGCTGGTTCTGAATCCCTCTTCGCTGCGTGGTAGTTGGGTGAATATGTGGAGCTGAAAAACAGTTTGGAAAAAAAAAGGGGGGAGTCACTTGCATTTGTTGAAAGCTTCATGCAGTGAAAGAGAAAACCATACCTGTAAACCCCAGAATAGACTGTACATAAAGAACTGACGCTGAATGAAGAGGTTATGAATATACTGCAAAAATACTGCAAGTTTTGTGCTCCCACAGTATGCTCAGCCTGAGGGAGCTCTCCTAGCTCAGACTCCCAGAAAGCAGGTGGCAGGAAAGCACTCCTCCTTAATTTTACAGATGAGACAACAGGCTCACAGAGGAGATGCATGGTTCCCTTGCAGATGAACAGAAATTCAGTGGCTAGCTGGAAGTGGCATGTTTATCTTCCAGCTCCAGTCCTCTCTCCTCAAACACTAGCACTTTCTCTTCCCTGCTGCAAAGAACAGCTGCTCAGGAATCCATCAGAACTACGTCAGCCTCCCAGCCAGCATTACAGGCCAAGATTCACAGATTTTTCAAGTCATTCAATGAGGGACTAGGCAGAGAAGGAACAGCTTTGGGCTACAGACACTACTGTTTGAAGAGAAATTTCCCAGATGTGCACAGTTCTGTTCAGCTTTCCCTCAGACTTGCACTACAGGAAACATCATGTCCCAGACTCTCACTGACACAAAAACAAAATGCTGAATTCTGAGACAGATGTAAAAAACAAGCACAATCGTAATTTCTTAGGCCCTTAAGTATTGACAGTTTATTACAAATTCCTTTCCTTGATCATGAATCTGACAGCCGGTACACCCCCACATCTGATATCTAGATTTCACTGCTCTCTCTTTGAAGAAGACAAGCCAAAAAAAACCCAAACAACAAAAAACATTTCATGATATAAAGGGCCATTCCAGGTGCAAAACATTTGCTAAGCAATCAGGCAGATTTTTTTCCTAAAAGCTGAGCTGAGTTCATCTGATACCAGCCTTTGCATTCTCAACCAAGCTCTTCAGAATAAGATGCAGTCTCACACATAAAGCTATTCCTAGCCCAAAGCTTGGTTGCCAGAAAGTTAAAATAATAATAATAATAATAGCCTTTTGCCAATTCACAGAAATGTTCTGATGGCTGGTTTGCATCATGATATCCAAGGAGTGATTCAAATGTATGCAAGTGTGGAAATGCTTGTAGTTATGCCTGCTTGTGGGTAAATCTGTACACACATCTGGTTATTTTGGATGGATGCTGTAGTTACAGGGCAAAGATAAAGCTTTCATAAGCATCAGAGGACTGCCTCTGAGAGTGGAATTACACAATGTCTAGAACAAAAAGAAGTTTTTTGTTTCTGGACAAGGAAAACTAGGTCACATGCATTCCCATAAATTACTTTTCAAGTTTTCAAGGCCTAGAACAACTCCTACAACCACCAGCGCAGCTTGTGCTACCAGACTTCAGGGGGAACTGAGACAGGCTCCAGCAGATGACATGATTGCAGGAGAGCAAACCTGTCCTGCCTACCAAAAACAGAGGTTTCACAGCTTTGGTAACATTTCTGGGACAGTCAGGAACTCAAGATTCTTATCAGCATCTGTCAAAAGTAAGCTATTCATTCATGCTAATCTTGGAGATTTCCATTTGCTTTACTTCTCTCTCTCTACCAAAAGAAAACTAAAAAGTCATGGGAACAACGAACGACATAATGTCAGTTGGATGCCTGAAGCAGAGCATGCCTTTCCCAACAACCCATGCACACCGAGGAGATCCTTGGACCTTTGGGAAATGCCAAGCAGCAGTCTGGTTACAGGAAGCAGCAGCTTCACAGGAGGAGGAACTCAGCACAGCTCAGCATTTCACCCAGGGATTTTTTTTCTTTCTCTTTCGAAGCAAACCAGCTCCATGTACCAGTTGATTAGCCAGAGTTAATATTAAGTATTCTTCCAGAAAACCAGTGCCACATTCAATCTCTGAGAAATATCACTACCAGTACTAGTTTTCCCTTCCTAGAAGCTAAAAATCACTGCCTTTGAAAAACATCATCCTTTTCCTCTGGCATGCCTACCTGGGAACATGTAACGGGAGACAATCTCACAAGAATAATGGAAATAAATTTCTTTTTTGTTACCAGGCAACAAAATTGTTGGCAAATACGTTATATCTTAGTGTAAGTTGCATCAAGATGGAGTTACAATTCTGCTTGTTTTTTAAAAAGTTTTTACCTAGCACAATAGCAATTCATATCTAAGCAGTGCCACCGCTCCTGTAATCACTACAAAATTCATTCAAGACCAAAGAGCAGACATCATATCTGAACTCATCTAAAGTACATGTAGAATTTTCCTGGGACATGCATCTGCCTATATCCATCACCAAAAAACAGAGCCAGCCCATTTCCAGCACCCTATATTATGTCCCACATGCTGCCAGACTATAAAAGAGACATCAAAAAACAACTTGAAAACTTACAAGGACGAATGGTCTGTGGAAGTTTCCAGAGGAGTAACACCTGCTGTATTCTGCAAAAGTCCAAACAAAGGAGTAATTGATACACACTTACATGCCAGGAGTAAGAAAAAGGCTTGCTTAAGTCATTTTCCATCGCCCAAATATTAGCATTTATGAGACATGGAAGTTTAAGGCAAAATGCAATTTAAGCTGCCGATATCTTTGCAGAAAAGCAACGATTTTCCTGAGTTCCTTTAGGGCAGTGACAGGTTTTTAGCACAGCCAATGCCTTTTTGCAGCGCCTATTCTTTTGTCTGCCAATGAGTCATTGTGCACAAAGCCAAAAGCAAGAAGAGATAATCAGCTGGGCCAGGACCAGGAGACACATGCTCATCATTATTTCCCCAAGCTTTCCCCCCAACCAGTCACTGCCCGATGCTGCTTTAAAGGTACATTACGTTACTGCAGCACAATACGTTCTTAAGCATTCAAAAAAAACAACAAAGCGCTAACAAGAAAAGCAACATTTCAGTTCCATTTCCTTACTTAAGAGAAGCAATGCGAGCTGCACAAGTTCAAGAGCAAAAGCCAGATCTTATCCACTTGCTTTAAATCCATCTAATGCTACCTAGGCACATTATTGAAAAAATGGAAGGCAATTTTAAAAGAAATGCTGCATTTGGTCTCCCCTCATCTACCTGAGGATTCGTACAATGGAAGAAAAAGCAAATCTTGGGTTTGAAAAAGCAGCTTGTTCACGTCCTGTTGAAATGCCGCAGTTTCAAAGAGAGAGAGAAAAAAAAAAAAAAAAGCCCAACAAAAGAAAAAAATAGCGTGTTACCAATTTAATCTATCATTTCATGGTTCGGGTCCTGCGGAGCCTTGGAGTGGCAGCAGCTGACCTGCCCTGGAAGGCCACGGCAAGGTGCAGGGTAGGGAAAATGGTGTAAAATCTCTGGGGAATATCCAAATGTTGGGCAGCACACGCTGCTAGCAGGGAGCAGCAAGGCTTGTGCGAAGGGAGGGTTGATGGCAACACGCTTGAAAGGCACGAGATGATGACGTGAGGCTAAGCAAGAATTTTAAGCTGATTGCTGCTGCCTATTCATGTGAAAAATAGAGAGGGTTTGTTGTTGTTGTTTTTTTTTTTTTTGCAGACACCGAACTCAAAACCCTAAAGGGGGACAGAGGTGGGGGACGGGTAGCTGAAAAGGAATGGGGGGAGAGGAAATTGCTGTTCCTGAAAATGGATTTCAAGCCGGATTCTCAGCATCACATTCTATTATTTCTGACAGCGACACAGCAAGCCATGCAGTCAGAATGGTCAGAACCATTATTTATCCCAACCTCATTTAATAATCATCCAGCAGCGAATAGATTAGAGCAGAGAGTTTGGAAACAGGGATTGGCAGCATGAAAAGAATAGGAAATACCTTCTGTGGCTTTTTATGTGGCGCTTTATAAAGCTTCTCCATTTTTTCTAAATCTGCCTCTAACTCAGTCTGGTAGAGGTAGAGGTCTTTTTCTAGATCAGTCTGGTTAAAGAAGGAGAAGAAGAATGGGAAAATGATGCTTAGGGTTAGGGGATATCAAAGGAATGTTAATTCTGAAAAATAAATAAGCGAGCCTTTTTAATTGAAAAAGTCAAAGATGGTATGGACAATAAACAGAAATCCACTAGTAATTAATTGTGTTTCAATGGTTACAGAGGAAATTGATTTAGGCATTTAACATTCAAAATTAAAAGACACGCAGGCCTGCTAGGATCTAATTCTACCAACAATAAAATTATAAAACCCACCTGTAAAAAAAAAAAAAAAAAGATACTGTGACAATAGGCTGTTAGTATAATTATCACTGCAAGTCAAGATAGCAAAACCACCATTCTAAACTACTGCTGATTATGGTTTAAGAATTGCTTATTAAATCAAATTACTAACTACTTGTTAGGCAAATGAGCTCAAGCCCATTTAAAAAACAAAATCACTCACAGGCACACAAAACCCAAGCAATGTTACAAAAGAAATCCACATACACACACACACACGCAGCAGATGCTGTAGTACAACGTACGTGAGACACAATTACCTTTCTATCCTCTCTAGTAAGGATAGAGCAATCTCCAGGAGTATAATCCCAAATCTTTTTTGGAGGCTGATGGAAAGCAGAGGAAGGAAATGAGGAAATGAAGATAAGGAAGACATCACAGAGAATATGGAAACTGGATTAGAACAGAGCGGGAATACAATAGGGGATTTGCATCAACACTGAAAAGAAATTAAAAACAAACAACAAAACAGAGAAAGAGAGATAGAAAGAGGGATAAATCCGTTCTAGCACGAACATCGAGAGATCACAGGAGGTAAAAGGAAGCACACATGCAGTCTGGGAGGGGCTGCTTTCAGTAGTATTTGGGGACAGCTTTATTACTGTGAGGCGCTCAAAGGGATTTAGGGCTCTCTAGGAGGAGCCTGCAGCTGTGGTTAAAGCATTCTTAATATACACACACACAAAAAAAATCACAAAACAAAATGGGGAAAAAAAATCACACAGTCATAAAAAGCATTTTTTTGCTCATTCTTCTTTTCAAAAGGAAAGGGTAAAATAAGGGCCTTTGGTAAAGAAAAGGGAGATATCTTTCCCACCCACACCAGACTCTGAATACATACCATGTGAACAAATGGCTGAATTTCCAGTGTTGGCATTGTGGGGCAATGAGAATGCAGAGTTGTTATTTGCTATTATTCTCTTCTGGGGAGATGGTTTGTGGTGGTTTTTTTTTTGGTGGAGAGAGTCAGGCACAGGCAAGTTTGGGAAATACTTACTTATAATTGATCCTACAAATAAAGGCTATTTCAAAATACAATTTTTCCTATTTTATGTATGTGTAAATATCAGGGAAGATTATTCAGAGTGAAAGACCTTTGTCCTACCCGAATAATGCCGTACCAATATCCTTCTCTTACCAGATGTGCACCTCACTGACATGTTCAAACACTTCGTTCTTACTTTGTAAAATCAAAATACTTCTGCTCTTCTGCAAACAAAGTAATCTCTGTTGGTTGACAAGCTTAGCATCATCCTAGGAGTCTGTACTGACTGACAGAACTATATTATCAAAGTATCTGACAGGGAATCATGAAAGCATGATTGAGCTACAACATTTGAGTCTTGGTCCAAATTCCATCAGGTTTCCATACAGTCTGGGTCTGTAGTTTGAATCAGGCTCATTTCTAAACTTGGACTGCGACACTAGGGCATGAGGTCAGCAGCCAGTAGGCAAGATGGTGCTGTAAAGATTCAGGTTTGAGACGTGGAGAGAGGAAGCGGAGGAAAGCAGGTAAGAAGGCAGGATATGCACGAACCCTTTTTCCAGTCCTCTGTTCATAGCAAAGAGCAGATTCGGGGCTGGGAGAAGTGTCCAGTGTCCACATGTGTGACCCCACAATCCCAAAAGAAGACAGTGAAGCTCTAGACTGGCTGGCCATCAAATTTGGCTGGTGGGGGGAGAGGGGAGGTGTACCATGGAGTGCGAGGTCAGAGGTTGGGAAGAAAGAAGGAGAATGTGGGGATTCAGTCTCCGCAACACCCTGGAAAAGCATCCATGTTGCACAGAGCAATCTTCCTGGATGCTCTGCAGGCACACATCAACGTATCTCCCTAGAAACATATCTGGGATATTCAACCAGCAGAGCACTGCTTCAGCTGTCCTTAGGAAGTGCATAGGCTTTCCTCAATGCAAACCCCTATCCTGGTCATTCTGGTATGTTTGGAGATGCCACAGCCTTGCAAGAATCCTGTGCTTCCTTCTACCAAGGGTGTTTACTGTCCATGTTCCATAGCCGCCATATTAAAGCCATAAAAATGGGAAAATATGCTTTTACAAGTATACATTATCTGCAGCACTAGGCAGGGAAAGCCTGACCAATCTAAATGGGGCTTAGCCACAACTAGTCACAAAAATCAGATCTTATCATGGCTAAAGTGAGCAATGATACATGAAGACTACTATTTGGCTGTGGTTGCAGGGCTCAGTGAGAGCTTTGTTGAATTTGTCTTGTTCAAGAGCAGCTATCAGTAGAAGTCTGAAATAGCATCCTCAATTAAAATGCCCAATGTAATGCTGAAGCACTATGCACATAGCGCCACATTCACTGTCTGGTATAATGTACCAGGATGAACACATATGGTTTTGGAGACAGAGGAAGTTGACATGGGCAGTCACTTAAAAGCAAACTGTAAGAAACCAGGCCTTAACAAAAGTCATGGACATCTCAAACACTTCTGAGGCCTACGTAGCATATGTCGGAAGGCTCTTTGCTACAAAACACAGTTGCCAGTGACAGAATGGACAGCCCAGCCACTGATCATGCCTGTTTTCCAGCAGAAATTATACTATTACTATATGCAATCAGAATAGGCACCCACCCAAATTCAGACATCTGTAAACTGCAGAGGGATTTAATCATATCCTTGAGAACTGTGAGCAATGCTTAGGTTTAAAGAAAACCTGCCCTCTGGCGTCCATATGCAATAGGCTTTGAAACCAGTGCTGAACTCGAAAACACATTTGTTTTATTATATGTGCATGGAAATCTCAGCAGTGTTCAAAAGTGGCGTGTGTGGGCATTCGACAATTTCAAAGAAAAAGATGAAACAGCCACTGTACTTGGATAAATGTGAGAGGCTGATGCTGACCCTCTGGTGCAGTAAGAGTAGCTTATTAAACAGCATTTAATGATGAGGTTCATTGTGTTTAATCAGTAAGAATCAGTTTAGTTGGTGAGAAAATTATACAGAACCTGTTTTTGTGTGTTTTTTTTTGTTTTTTTTTTTGTTTTTTTGCTGGCAGCCCTAATCACTGATGTGCTCTTCCATCAAAATGTCCTTTGTCCTATCTAATAATTAAGCTTTGCTTCATCCTTTTCCAGAGTGAGAGATCAAGGCTTTTTCTTTCTTTCTTTTTTTTTCCCCATACAGAAAACAACACAGCTCTGCTTGAAAAGAAAGCACTCTGTTCTCAGATTCCTTCGCTTTCAGGGAATGGCCAGGGCTATTCAGTGCAGCCTGATGCACATCATTTGGGCAACAGGCAGGTACATGAATAAGGAAAGAATCAGGAAACAGGGTCATAATCAGTCATGGATAACTGCAAATTACTGATCCATAGTTTACAAGGTGAGGCCAGAAATAAGTAACTGATTTACCTAGATTTAAAGCTACCTATCAGCAATCCTAAATCTTTTTAGAAGATGGGAAATTGAAAGAGGACTCTCAGTGAGAACAGGGCATTACTTCTACCATTAAGAGTAATAATGCAGTTTGAATTGTGGTATGCAAAAACAAAAATATTGTCTTGTTGGTAAATACAGCTGGAAGGTGGGGAGTGTTTGTAAATGGCCTCAAAATACTCTAAGCAATCATAAAAGGACTATTTTGCATCAACACCAGGGTGGTATTATGAACAGTCATTTTTAAATGAGTAAGGCAGCTGCTCCAGGTTTAGAGCCTAGCAAAGAGATGTGACAATAATTAAAAAAAAAAAAAAAAAAAAAAAAAAAGGGAAAAAAAAAAGGCAGGTTGATTTTATTGGTCACTGCAACTATCAAACTTACCGGTTTCCCAAACTCCAATTCCGAAAAGAATTTATACCAAGGTTCATTCTTTAAATCTATCTCTTCTGGGCTTATATCCCGAGTCTAAAGGAATTGGTGATAGGGGAATGGAAGAAAGAGAAGGATAACATTATGCAAAGAATACACAGAAAAAGACTGTTAAAGATGCAGATTCCATAGTTTCCACTCTAAAATGTCGATATTTAGCCTCATAATTTGGAATTTCTATAGCATCTCTCATGAAAGCTATGAACTCCTTTGCAAACATCAGTTAAGCATCATTGTGAGATACATGAATATGAATGAATTGCATTTTACAGATCAGGAGACTCGCACAGAAAGAGATTATGCAGCTTGCCCAGATTCACTGGAGGCTCACTGGAAGGGCTGGGAGTCACTCAGTCCCCCAGTTCTACTGTCAGGCATTTCCACTGAGACCAAAGCACAGGTACTGGTTGAATCTCTTTAAACCATCATTTGGTTAAAACAAACAAAACAAGTGAGATTCAGTGAGACTTGAATCAAACATAGCAAAATACTGCATCTTTAACAGCACATGAAAATGTGAGAAACCCTGTTCTATACATTGCAAACAGGGTGAAAGGTGGTTTTCTAAAACAAAGCGGACACAGGTCAGAGAAAGCACATTTCTGAATATTCTCTGATAAGATGGATACAGAGAGACAGTATTACTTGTTTCTTCACAAATAAATGTTAAGAGGATCAGGCTGAACTAAAATGAAGGAAAATCAGACAGGACAGAAAATACTACAGTTGAAAAGAAAATTTCCTTTTATTCATACAACACGAAGTGTGTCCTGATGCAAATCTTCGTGTGATGGGGTTACTGAGGTGGGGGCAGTTCCCAGCATTGCTTGGCACTGCTGGATGTTTCAGATGGCCACAGCCATCAGGCATCACAACAAAAAAAAAACAAACCAAAAACAACAACAACAAAAAAGGCTCTATGGAAAGAGCATACAACTGATTCTGAAAGAGGGGCAACACTTCTATCTGAAAGATAAATGGTTATGTTGTGTCTGATCTCTTGTCGCCTGGACAATGCCTCCATTTTTTTCCTTTATTGCACTCTAGCTCAAGTACTCATCTCATTATGTAACTGCAGTTACTGAAGATAATAAAAAAACCACTAACGTCAGTGGAAGGCTCTTCATTGCCCTGCAATGGTCTTGGATTGGGATTCTGATAGCCATAGCTCCTGGTGTGATCACCAGGAGATATTCACAAATCTGCTGCTTCCTCAGAAACACAAAGATAGACCTAGTTACTAAACAGTGACTAGTTACTGTTGTACTTAACGAGACTGATGTAGATTATGAAGCTACTATTTCAAGATGTTCTTTTTCCTGTGATCTGTGGTTTGAAATTAAAGCTCAAAAAAAAAAAAAATCATCAAAAGTAACACAGCTATAGCATTCCTCTTGTCTTTGGTGATCTCAGTACAGTTTTTCTCAATTGCACTGAATGATGGTCCTGCTTTTGGCTTTTAGATTCTGATTAAACAGCTCCATTAAGTGACTCAAGAAGTCTGAATGCATAAATAGTACCACTGGTTATGTCAGACCTTTCTTAAGGCTTAAATATACAGATGATGCAGGACTTTTGCCACAAGGTTTAATCTTGGCTATTTATCAAGAGACAAAATTGCCGCTGAGCTCAGCAGAAATCTTAATCCACAATGGACTGAAGAAATGGCACTGTCATACCAAGCTCAAACTACTCCTCCCCGGCGCTTTCTCTATTGGGTTGAGCCAACTCCCAGTACAATTGAGAGCCACCCATTGCCTCGTAGTCCAAAAGGCCCCAGATCATACGCTGGTCAGGGGTGACTGTCCTGAAGTCAGTGAGGGACTGTTTGGATCAACTTTTGAACTGTTAATGCACAGAGTGCAGTTCACATTTGGAATCTCACCTGGAATTAGCAATTCCAACCAAATCTTTCAGATTAATGCCTATACAGAACAATTACATGTTTATGTACCAAACTGGTTATTCACTAATAACCTCACTCAGTGTCTCCTGGCGCTTTCAGAGTTGCGCTTGTAAACTGAAGGACCTTAAGTAGGTAGAGCTGATTTATGCAGGCCTGACAGAGGTTAACATCACCTTTCCTCCCTGTTGCTTTCCATGAGGTCTTCTCATCCAAGCCTGCATTGTGAGATTTTTGTATTTGCCCTATTTGTCACAACTCACAGCTTACTAATTCGAACTAAAATTGGTAACAGTTCACTTAATATTCCAGGTCACACACTAGTGTAGCTGGGGGGTCAGCTCACATTCAGTTCTGCCACCTCTGCCATGGAAGGAGTGAGATCCAGCTGAGGAAGAAAGTAGCCAAGGGGCTGTGTCCTAAAGCATCTCAGAAGCATCCGCTGAAGTACATTACTAGCACTCTAAGAAGTTGTTCAGTGTTTAAAGCTAATGGCATCAAAAGAACACAGAAACTGAACCAGGCAGCTTTGTTTCATAATGCTTTCAACCCTACTCCTGTGCCCTAGAAAAAGTACAGCTGGCGACACAGCTGCTGCAGAGGTCAGTGTCAAACACGGATTAAAAACTAGGGTTAGTGATCCATACTTAACACAGAAAACAACATATCCCGAAGTGAAGCAGCCTCTCAGTCCTCATGGATTTTGCTTTATAAAGAGAGACAATGTTATGCAAAACGATTTTCAAAACAAAATACAACAGAATACATCACACGATCACTGCAATGTAAACATAAGGAATCCTATTGGAATGGAACTGGACAAGCACTCAGTATCATGTATATCATGTATATCATGTATGTATCACATTCACAGGATTAAGGCACACTCTAGGAAAAGATAAACATTACCATTTTTTCACTGTTCAGAACTGAGGACTTTCCTGGCTGATAGTCATAAATGCTCCTGGGCTCTGCACGGTATTTTCTAGTGTCCACCTTCTTGTCTGGAGGCTCCCAGTCCGTCCTGGGGAAAGAAAGATCAGTTAATGCAAATCACTGTGGTTTCCATGGAAGCAAGTACTTCTTTTGACAGGCACCTTCTCCTGCTAATCCTGGTTTCATTAGAGTACTTCCTTCATTCTGGAAAGAAATGTGCTGCGAGAGAAGCAGGTCAGATAGGACTCATGATTGTATATTTGTTTTTCTACAACAAGAAGAATTTGACACAGCTCAGATGCTGAAACCACTGGAATACGATGGGTTGGGTGTCTTTTTCATACTTCAATGAAATTTCAGAGTTTCATGTCTTTCCTGATTGAAAATAATGTAATGATGGAGTACAAATTAAGCTCACAAATACCAGCGTGTCCAAACATGGAGGAAAATTCAGACTAACTCTCTCCTGCTAAACCACTCCATTTTTGCCATGCCACTGAGTTCTCACCTCTTCACACAGAAGTGCAGCAGCCTAACCAGAACTACTGCTGCTCCAGGTTTGCTCCCACTTACCCTATTGATCCGGTTGACAATAGGAACCACCCACTGAGATACCCTTCTCTCTTCACTGATTTTGGAAGACACAGGCAAGTAAGTTCTCTTTTAAAGTAAGGCAAGATGATAATCAAAATGACTAGACCATCAACACTGTGCAAACTTCCACAGTGTTAATCATTACTGCTTGGAATTAACTTGATGGCTTAAGATTCCAGTCCCAGAGAAACTTTGCCCTGGTGAAACATTGTTTCGTTACTAGATAACAGGAAGCACTACTTATCATAACTCTTTCATTTGCAAGAATTTTTGCAAAGGGCCAATGTACTCTGCCTTCAACTTCTGTGTAAGGAAGAGATGTTCCATCAGTTCTATGGCCTGAGATGTTTACCGAAATAGCACTCTCAAATCACAGCACTACATATTTGAGGCATTAAGTGAAAAACATTAGAAGCATGCGGAAATTAGTGAAGGAAGGAGGAACAATTCAAAAGCTGGGAGAATTCCACAGGACATACAATATTCATTGCCCTTTCTGCTTTCCCTTCATTTGGTAAATGCATTCATTATTCTTATAAAGAGTTTTTAAATGCTTGGTAACAAACAAAGCAAAAGAGCAGGACGGAAATCATCTTGAAAGCTTACTAGTAATCATGAAAGCTAACTTGACTCTACTTCCAGTAAAGTCCATTATGAGTGAGACGACTCAGAGAAAGGCAGTGTAAAAAACTTTTACGAAGGTTCAGCATAAATTCACTTCTTGCCCCTCTGCAATTACTGCTGTTCACTTGTATTCTGAGGCATCTTTACAGTGTCACACTAAACAGAGAGCTTCCACTGTGCTTATGTGGATACACAATACTCTAGGAAACACTGCTCACCCCAGCAGAAAACTACCTATGTAACAGTGAGTGTGATGCCTGCTCAGTAAATGATGCAATGGCAGAGGAAGCCGCGGCAACAAAGGAGTTAATTAGTGTCCTGCAGACAAGTCAGAGTTAAAAGCACACCTCCACCTCCCCAAAAACAACTGGAGTCGTGAACCTAAACTTCCATATTTGTTCTCTTCCTATTCACAACTTTCAGACACTCTTCCACTATTGATCCAAACATATCTTAGTTCGGGTCACCTTTCAGGGCTGGATTTCAGCAATGAAGTACGGTTTGGTAGGGGCAAAGTGGCAGACCTCTTAAACACCTTCTCTGAGTCAATATGGTCCATCTCACTCTTGGAGCGAGGAACTGAAGGCTGGCTTCTGGCTGTGGAATAAATCAAATACAGAGATGTTGGTGAAATGGATAAGAGGCCAACAAATACATACTTTATATATCGCCTTATGTTTGAAATATCATACAAGAAAAGGGAATTACTTACTGTCCTCACAATAGGAATAACGAGGAGAGTATGAATCAGAATCTTCATCTGAAAGACAAAAGCATTTTGCAAGTGAGCTGAAAAAGCCCTCCAAATGAAGCATCAGAAACCCTTTTCATTTCCATTCTTACATTGGCCATAACTAGAGAGTAATACACTCAATACCTACCACAGAGAGGATCCTAAAAAAGAAAATGCCAATGAAATTTAAATTGCATTTTAAAAATGCTTCCTAGATTAGATATAAATATTAATGTAGTACTTATACCTTTCTCCAGCCTCTCAAAGCACTTTAAAAAACAATCACTTTTTGTCACAAAACGCCTCCAGAGCAAGTGTTATTAGATCCACTTTATCAAAAGCTGAAAGATAAATCGAGAATCTAAATGCTGAACCGTATGCCTAAAATAACTCATTAGGTGCTAGACACAGTAATACAGCTGAGGAGTCCTGTTCTCAATCACACACAGTAATCACTGGGCCATCTTGCTAGTATTAAGTAGCACACCAAATTGAAGTATGTTCACTGACTCAGATCATCTTTAAACATTGATAACATTCCTGGCACAATACATGCATGTATAATTGCACTAAGAGATTGTCCTTGCTCTAAAGAGCTTACCTTTTGAATAGAAAAGATATGTCTATAGAATGCAATAGAGGGGGGTTCAAGCAGCTCTACAAGAGCTAGCAATGACAGTCATGACTGTAGTGCCCAGGGCACGTGCACACCTAAAAGAGGCGGGGAGGATGGTAGCATTACTGCCCACACTCTACAGGTGATGTCCAGAGACTAGCTTTGATTATAAAAAACCTACAGGTATCTTTTTCACCATATTCATCATGCTTTGGAATAAATCCTCAATGAACTGTATCTAATAGCATGAGGAGCTAGGATCAGAACTGGAAACTGGATCCACAGACCCATCATCTTTCTCTACCAATGAGGGTTCCAACTATCAGGGAAGTGTACTTGGGATACCTATAAGACTTCAAGGCAAAACACAAGAAGATAAAATGCAACGCCTGCAAAGAAAATCATGAGTAAAGATATTGCTAACAGCTCTGTGAATAAACCACTGAAATAGCCAGATAAAAATAGAGAAAAGCAGAAATAGATGAAGTAAAGAACATACTGTACGTTTGTCGCATTAACTTAGTGATGTCAATCAACAGACTAAAACAATTTGTAGCTTCTCTCTCTCAAAAAGTAGCTGCTATATCCAGCCTCATCTGCTGGAAAAACAATTTGGCTAATACAGCTGACCTGAACTTGCACTCATCGCTTAACTGAGCTTTTCAGAAAGGCTCAAAGAGGTCTTAACTCTTAGCCCTGCTGCTGAGTTTCTCTTGGTGAACGAATTAGAAGGTTTAAGTTCTAAATACAGTTACTGATTTCTGGTATGCTTATTATAGCCTTCAGGAAAAAAAAAATAAAAATAAAAATAAAATCAGGCCAATTTTCATGTTTCAGACTAAAATGACAGAGAACAACTGTTGATCTATTTAATAACAGGGAATTGTTGAAAAAGTTGACCGCTATTGCTATACAAAAAGTGGGTGTATACAAATACCAAAATACTTGGTAAATCACCATCTGCACATACAAACAGATACATCTAATACCATCTTCACATCCATTCAAGCTCTCAGTATTATTTAATGCTAGTGAGCAATTAAAAAATTGATCTACTCACTCAAAAATAATTGTCAATACTCATTAAGTATTGTTGTTCAGGCAGGAAAAAATAATTTCAGATAAATGCTAAGTTTCCAATTGCAAAGATTTTAATAGCTAAAGTAGTGAGGAAGAAAATGATACTGTTCTAAGAGAACATTTCTGAGGGAGAAAACACAGGCATTCTTCTATTTTATAGCAATGAACAGTAAAACACAGAAATCTGGAATGACCCCATAAAGTTTAAATCAGAGATGAGCAATTTGAACAGGATCTCCTGAGCAACATCCTATCTATGCAACACTTAGTGGAGCTGGGCACGGCCAAATCATCCCTTTAAAATCTGATTCTTTTTGCAAAAAGTGGCAGTCCCCTGGCAGCTCCTAGAGAATCTACAGAGTGTTTTGTTGTTGCTGTTATCTGTTTTTAAGGCTGGCTAAAATCTCTAGATTTCAATATTCTTAGACTTCAAAAGAATTTTAGAGAAGAACCCAATCTTAATGTTTTTAGGAGATCTTACACAACAACCCAGAGCAAACAGACTAACACTCAGAGTGTATGCAATCTAAAGCTTGAGGTTTCAACCCATCTCTGTATAAGCCCTTTGCAGGAGAACAGAACATTTTGAAATATATTCTGAATATGAAGCATGGACTCTAACACAGCTACACCATCATATATTCTGGATTCCTCATCAATAAAAGAATCCAAGCAGGTATTTGAGAAACATTTCTCAATATACTGTAAATAATGAGCAAATATCAACCACCTAAACCAGCAAATTACTCTCATCTGCACATCTGAAGTGCACAGGGGAAATTTATGGGAAAACAGACTCTTACTGCAGTAAGTTCATTAGCTTTACAAACTGTTTTTGTTGAGATAAAGAGTAAGATGGATTTTCAAACTTCATTACAAACCAGAAAATTAATTGCAAAATTTCTTTAGTGACCAGTTACTGAGGATCTGTTTCTCTCTCATTTGTATCAATATACCATCCTGCCAACATAAAATAATTTATACTACCTTGTAATATGCAAGACAAGACTTTTCACCTGCAGGTTTCACCAAAAATTAAGTATCTGAGATATCTGTTTGACACTAATCCATATTCATTTTCACAGTGAAATGCACTTCACAGCTCATCTTCTTTGATCATTTCAGCTGGAACCCAGATCATACACTTTTCTTTTTATAAAATACCCACCAAATCCTTAATAAAAACACTGAATGAAATGGTTAATTAATAATCTCACCAGGGCTGCCTTGAGGCACAGGCTATGTAGGCAAGTTCCTAAATGGCAGGATCTTAAGCAGTACCAAAACATGAACAAACAAGGCTGTCACCACCACCGCCTCCCTGATTACTAAACATCTGCATATGCCCAATGTCTGCAGTGGATTCCAATGTTTCTAATGTGTAAGAGTTTTCATATATATATGCAGACGGTTGTAGGATTACTACTGCTATAAATACAATTTAGCCATCCCTGAAACATGACAGACAAATCTAGTTTATACCTGAAATTTAAAGGAATCTCCTGAGCACACGAAGAGGCTAATATAAAGACAGTGATGTAAGTTACTACATGTGCTGATGACCATCACATTCTGCCCTTGCCCAGATAAGCGAGTGCACCTAAGGCCAGCCCTGAACCCACGTTACCAGGTTATATTTATTTTAAAGGACTGCATTGAGGGACTGATCCAAAACCCACTGAAGCGAGCAGCCATTTCACCAATAGACTTCAGTGACATTTTGGTCTGGTCCTAATACTGCGTTAATATTAAAAATAAGAAATAAACAAATAAATGTGTTGATCCAAAAGAAAGGCAAGAGAAATCACAGTTAAATCACATCTTTACATGTATATCAGCATTTTAGGCATGTTAAGTAATCACTGCACGCATATGGCTAAGTATAATTGGTAAGCGCACAAAACCAAGCAAACCTCAGGTCTGTAGCATTAGTCAACTACTAGTTAGAAAGCCAGAGGAGCACTGCAAAGCCAAAAAGGCATCATACAGTCAAGGCAATGCTTACAGTGCAGCAAATAATTACGAGGCAGCAAAATGTTCAGCAACTAGAAAAAACTCCAGGAAGAAAATAAATGGACAAGGCAGCATTTGTGCAGAAAAATATAGATGGTCCTTCATTATTACCTTCAGAGATAGGGCTAGGAGTAGACGCAGGAAACTGGTATGTAGGAGAATAAGGATTGTCTTCTGCAGCAGAGAAAAGCAGTGGATTTTGAGGCTATCCACAGTGAAGTGGAGGTTCTGCTTCATCCCCCAGCTTCCTACCACCATTTGGCTTTATTGCTTATTTTAATAACACTTGAGTAAACATCATCACTCTTTAAAAACTTAAAAACGGATTAGCAAAGTTTTAATGACTTTATACATTACACAAGAAGGTATACTGGGCATGACTAGACCTGAATCTAGTTACTACTATGGTGCTACAGTACAGTTAACTCAAAGCACGAGACAACACACACTCTGACTATGCTTCTGGTACCTTCAGGTTTTTGCTGGATTTCAGGAAGTTCAGGAAATATGTAGGTAGGGCAATAAGGATTTTCTTCAGGAGTGTCTAAGGAGAGGAACATGATTTGAAAAAAGAATAGAGAGTAAAGATTTAAAGGGGAAGAATGGCAAGACAAGAATCCACACAGGCTGCAGAACAGCTCCTCATGTGCTGATGACACAGCATGACACTACCCAGATGCCTTCTTGGGCCCTAAGGGAGATCCTGGAAGCAGAAAGGACTAAATTTACTCTGCATATTCAGAAGTACTGACTCTGACTGAGCTGAAGAACCTCTGTTAGGAGCACTGGGGTGAAGAAATGGTTCAACTCTTTCTCACTCTATCCAATACAACATGGTGCCTAAATATGCATAAAGCTCATCATGACAGCACCTGCAGTGGCATGCAAAACTGGAGCAGTGTTATGTAAGCGCAGTTCTGGATTGCATTTGCCTGCACATGAGCCTGTTCAGACACTGCAAACACTGCTGCAGCCATTTCTCACACAGAAGAAAGAACACAGATGTATCAGCAGCCAGGCACTGAAGTGCCTCAAAGTAGTAGAGTCCCTCACCACGATGAAACTTCAATAGAAACATGAAATGTCATATTTGCAAGAGCTTATTACAGTTTTGAATTATGAATGAAGAAAAATTTGAAGTTTTGAAGAGCAGAATTCAGATTCTGAACTGCTCAGAATCAGTGGAAATCGTTCCCATGATATCTGTGAGCCTCAAACCATGTTCTATTAAGCAGGTACTAAAGCAAAGTTGTTTCAGTAATAACTTAATATAATTCAAAAGTGTTGTGTGGGGCAGCTGCTAATACTGGAGTTCAGGGATCTGTTTCTTAAGTACAGACTTAGTGGCAGCCTTCTGTACACTCAATAGTACGTTTGGTTGCATGAAGGCACTGAGGTAAACCTCTCAGAACAATCAGACTTTGCTTTGGACTTCACTGCTGTCTTACCTTTGTTTTTAGAGATTTTAAATACATTGGTTGAATTCTGTGGTGCAGAGTAAAAACTAGTTAACATAAAACAGTTCTACTGAATACCCATAGTACGATTTTTCATATGTATTAAAAATGTTGTAAAGGTGGTCTCGTAAAGTTAGTAAAATGACCCATCATACAGTACCTCTGTTTAGCTTGTGTATCTGTTTGAACATTGTCTTGTACCAGTCCTTCGATCTGTCTGTGTTCTATTGGAAGAAACAGCACACAAATAATCACAAACATGAATTCTATCAGCCTTTCAAAGTCTTTCTTTCTTTTATCATATTCACCAAAAAGTAGACACCATGTGTAATTTAGTCACTCATGCTCTGTGTCCAATGGACACATGCAGTGTTCAAGTTACTCCAGACACTAGTTGTAATGGGTGCGTTATTCTTTTCACTGTAATTTCACTTGATAGTTGAATGAAATTAAACACAATGTTTAGAAGAGATAACTGCAATTAAGATCGCTAAAATAATGCAAAATTAATATCCTCCTTCACCGCCAGCAGTGAATGAACAATGTTCTCCAATATGATGAAAAGAGAGACTCATATTTACTTTTTTTTTCACCTGATGCTGAAATTGGGTAATTGATAGAAAAGTTCATAACAATATGCACTGGAACTAAAATTCTATTTTCTCTTATATCTCTGCAGCCTCTGTATCTTCAGCAAATTCTCCAAGTTTCAAGACAGGCAGAACCAGGTTTTTGCAAAATGGTCACATTTCCATTGTTGCCTTACCCTCAGTGGAATGCCAATGTCATCAACAGAAGTATCAGCCATATGCTGAGGGCTCTTGACAATTCTCTTCTCCTCCAAAACCCTCCTCTCACTCAGCACTGGCTCCTGGACTGGCTTGACTTGTGTGAGTGCCAAATCTACTTTGTCTGAAATTATTCTGTCTGGCACAGAATCTGGAAACAAAAACAAGGCATTCTTACTTCATCGCAGTATTCCATCACTTCACCATATCCCACTCTTTTAAGGCAAGAACCCTGGCAAATAGTTGATGAGACAGACTGTGACCCTGCCAGCTGTGGCTAGCACATAGGCTGAAGGAATCTAGCAAGAATACATTTGATACCAGCAAAAGCAAGCTAGTATTTCTTCACACATCTCATGACAAGCTCAGCTGTTACATAAGACAAGATTTTTGGTTTTGGAGATTTTTGGGGGTCTAATCAGTGACTCTGCAATTTCATTCTTAATCTCCTTTGTTATAATCAACAGGATCATTTCTGTGTCCTAACTAGAATTTGTAAACGACAAATCCCACTACAGTTGTTAGCATTATGTATCATTCCTCTCTAAGTAGAGAAAACAACTACTTGCTCCAGACTGCCTTGATTCTACCTGGCATTCCTTGATGCTGCCTGGCTGACATCCATATGCAGCACCACTGAGCGAGGAACCTGGGAGCTTGAACTGCTCTGAAGATCTACTATGCTGTGGAGAGCTGCAACACGACAACATTTAGGCTCTGCTAAGAACTCCTACATGGATTTTCTGGAGAGAAAACATCAGTGATTTTACAGTCTGTCTCATCAAGGATCTGCTGAAGCCTGTTCACTTTATATCACTGCATGCATTGAAGATAGAGAGAGGTTTATTCACATGCACATCAACATGCTGCCCAAAGCCATTAAATGTGAAGAAATCTGAGAGGGACAGTTAGCAGAGGAGGGGCTCATGCACAACGAAGCACTGGTACCCTGAGCAAACACAGTCTGCAGTCTGGCCTGCAAAAATTAGTACACGAAGAATTTGTGTTTGAGTGGTTTCTCCTCTAAAAAAAAATAATGAAATAATGTTTATAAAAACAGTCATCATGTAGCAAAGCATCAATTAATTTGTCATCTACCTTATCCCACTTTGTTTTCTCTCCATGGCAATGCATGTACACTGTCTTCCGGTCTTTTTTGTGTTTCTGGTGCAAAGGGTTGGTTCATTCTCCTACATCTGGGAGAATTAACAGCCAAATTCCATAGTGGAATATTTGCTACACAGCTCCAAAGATTTCTAAAGTCTTAAAGACTTAAAAGACTTTAGAAAGACTGCTGGAGGTACAAACCAGGCCAAGGTACTCAAAAACATCAAACAGCCAAAGCCGGTGCCTGGCCACATAGATAACCACACTGCATACCCCGTGGCACCTTCAATGTCAGCAGCAACATGGAGCTGCACAGCAAGAGTTCCACTGTTGTGAGGAAGAGGATGCAAGAGACAAGGGATGAGGTGGCCACCTGCATCTCTGTGGTTTTTCTGACTCAATAAGAACAGGTGCAGGCACAGCTGTGCAAAACGGGATTCACTGGCAGGCCGTGGGCCATTTGGGTCCAAACACGCCACACTGCGTGCTGTCTCTAGTTTGGAAAACAAAAGGGTTCCTGATCGTGAAGGGAAACACCTTGTGGAAGGGAAAACCAATAGGAAGGAAGCTTCTGTCTGCAGGACACAGCTGAGCTGAGTGCGCTGAGGCACCACCAAGGGAAAGAGCAGGGAGAAACGTGCATCCTGCCACCTGAGCAGGGCACAGCAGAGAGCAGCAACTGGTGTGGCACCAGAGGAGCTGGCTGGAGGCAGCTGGACCCTGGGAGTGGGAACAGGAAAATAACTTCTCTTCCCTGTCAAGGAGATGCTCACGGACCTGTTGCAGGGGCAGATACAGCTGCAAGGGGAAAGAAGGCTGGCAGCACACCTGCACACTTGTCTGCTACAATTTTATCATATACTTCTTAGGAATTGGCACAAATATTTCTGCTCTGTAAGTCAACACTGATTTTTCTCTCCCCATCCTATGCGAGATGGACTCTAACGGCTATGCAGGGAAACTTGAGAATACATCCCATGTCAGTAAACCTAACAGCTCAAAAGGCAACCAAACCGATCAACAAGTTACAATTTAGGAGGAACAGACTACCAGTTCTAGGAGTTAGGTAGGTATATTAACACAGCCACACCGGCAGCACATGGAGGAGAGACTGAAATGAAACATTTGGTGACCTGGACTAAGCCAGGACAAACATTTGAAGTCTTTTTTTTGCAGTTCCTGGGAAGTGTGTTTGCTCAAGGCACTTCACAGCTAACAAAGTAGCACTTTGTTCCAGCAGAGGCAGTGGGCGCGAGGGAGCAGACCTTTCACATCATACCTGCCAGGCTACTAAGCCTTTTTTGCTGTTCTGTGGTAAAGAAAGAAACAAAATAAAGAGAAATACAGAACAAATGGGTGAGACAAACAGCAAGTGCTCTAGTGCTGCATTTCTGACAGGCAAGAAATACGCTGCAGACAGAATGGCAGCAGCTGCTGGAGAGAGTCTGTTTTCAGATCACTGCTAAAGTGACAATCCACAGCCCCTTCTCCACACAGCACCCATGTGGATTACACACATCTCGTGATGCAGTGCTCAATACATTTGTAAGGAGTATTTTTTATTTTTCAAATACCAGAGAGAATGAAAAAAGCTGGACAGCAGACACTTTTAAAAACACTGAGGACTCAGAGTCAACCAACTTGATCAATAACTGCTATCATTACCACAAAGTGCGTTTTAAAACAATAATACAATAATTTCATAGCAATATAAGAAAGTATTGAGCTAACGCCGTGCTGAGTCTCAGCACATACTACTGAGTCACAGATTGAGTGATCAGCCCACAGGCACAGGTTGGGTAAGGCAATGAGTTTCAGAGACGTCATTTTGTTTTAGAGCCTTTCATTACTGAGTTACATTACACAGACTGGGACATCTGTGGTATCTTCTGGGATGTTTCACTGTCCTTATAAGTTGATAGAGCTGCTTTCTAAAGAGATGTCCAAACAATGTGCCTGAGTTGCGGCTGGGAATAAACCAAGGATTCTTAGCTGTGTTCTTTGCTCTGTCCACTGCTTTGCAGTTAATCTGGTTATTTAATGCATGAAAGCAATTTGAATAAACATTTTACTGACATACAAAACGCAGACACTCTTGAAAGCTCATGTGGTTAATGCAAAGACTACAAAACTTTATATATATTAATTACACCTGTTAAATATTCATAATAAATCATGCCATGCTGCTTGCAAAACTGCCTGCCCAGGAAATAACCGTGCTTTGTGGTGGCATGGGACACTTGCCAAGCAACACTGCAGTAGGTAAAAATTCTCCATCTGCATGTTTGTTAGCAGAATCTGTCTTCAATGGATGTTTGTACTAAATGTACTAACTCTGCAAGGGAGACCAGTTTTCTTTGCTAAAAAAAGCTCCCTCACTAGCAGAGCAGAAGTGCTGTTTGTTTTTCTTTTTGTTGTTGTTGTTTTGGTTTGTTTTTTACATGAAGGCGATGTTTTCTTTCTACTTGTGTCTCAGACTAGGAAAGAGCTGCTGATGGACAGAAGCTGGGGACATAACTGCTATCTCACTCTCCCACCTGACCAGAATCAGCTTGCAGCCCCAGGCACACACTAGGCAAATGAGGATTTGATCTTTGATCTTGCGTTCTGGGACTGTAAGCAAAGGCCAAAGACTTGTCAGAGTCTCAGAGAAAGGGCTGAGCAGGGGAACACAACTGCTGGCAAAAGGGAAGGAATGATTAAAGATGCCTTCAGAATTCCCAGAGGAGCGACAGAATAAATGAAGGCTTGAAACCAATAACAGAAGGGGAAGAGGAAACAAATATTTCAGTATGTTTACTGCAAAATTAAGATGTCCAAAATAAAACGTATCAATCTGGACACCAACAAATGCAAAGGGAATTAGTTCTTACTCTAATACTAGGAATGAACTAGAGGATCTGAAATGATCTATGCTTATAGGCATAAATGTTATTCAGTTGGTGATACTGAAATCTGGTTTAAAAAAAAAAATCTCTCATGACTGAGCAATTGTATTTACTATATTTCAAATGTCATGACCTGTTTCTAAGTTTAGCAGCTACACAGCAAAAGATCTTAAATGTTTGCAGATTAATGAACCAGCAAGTAAAGTATAAAATAGGACAGTAGGTGATGTCTGCTACAACAGTCACTCCAGAGAATAAGATAACTAGCTCCTTAAAGAGCAATCAATAAACCACTGAAGAGAAAAAAAGCCACATTATCCATCTGGAAGACTAACTGAATTACAGGAGATTTCAGATTGCCAGCATTAAAACGACCTTGAAATTTCTTCCTCAAAGGATATTCACAGCACACAAGAGGAATTTATATTAAACCTCATCTTGACATGAAGGAATTGATTTCAGAACAAAATATAATTAACTATTTTAAGGGAAGGTGGGCCATAATCCAATAACAATGTTATCTGCCATAAGACTAAACCGGCTTTGAATGGATACGGTCCAGAAAGATGAAATCAAATATGAATCATATCAGCCAGGACAGAAACACAGAATATCGCTAAGATGTGAGAATCATTTAAAAATACCATATCAGCTACATTACAGAAATATTACAAAACACTACCAAAAATCCCTAATACTATGCTGGGAGTCTAGATGTGGACAAAAACATAAGGAACTGTAAGAAATCCCCAACATACAAAGCAGATAGAAAAGAAAGAAAACATACTTACGAGCAGATAATATATGCCAGGAAGTAGAAGAAAACTATGATGGAAGAAAAAGAATTTACAGAATGTCCCAGAGATTCAAAGAGAGGTTCAGAATAAACAGACCTAACAGAGGACTTCATATTTTACCAAATAGGCACATTGAAACTATTATTAAGAGGGCAAAAAATATGACACATCTAATCACTATTTCCATTCTTTTTTTTTTTTTTTTCACCCCTCATTAAATAAAAAAGCCTGACGTCCTACTGTCTGATGGAGAAATACTTTCCACTTCAACAGTAACAAAGGACCATGCTGAATGACAGAAACTGAAGTCAGAGACTTGATAATCACTGTGCTCATATGAAACGCGCTGAAGAATTTTAGACCAGTTTTTTTGCTCTAAAGAAAGAAGTTTCAGGAAGAGCAGCTTGCTGGTCTGTTGACAGTCATCCTCAGTATGCCTTGCAATACAAAGGAAACGCTACAGGATAGGAAGAAAGATGCTGTGACAACATTTGAAAAGCATAAATGTGATGGCTGGAACATCTGCCCGTCAAGTTGACAGTAACCCCAGAAAAAATATTGTAATGACTGATATGAGATTTTATTATAAAAAACAGTGCAGCAAGTAGCATCAGTTGGTACAGACTGATGATGATGATGATGATGTGTTCTCAAACTAGTTCAATATGATCCTTACAAATTATAGGTTTGATTTCTAAGGACTGGAAAACATGTTTGAATGGGATATTGTACAGACTCAATTATGCTGCTTAACAAGTTGCAATCTATAACACAGTCAACAAAGATGTGATTATAAAGCTCTTCAATACATCAGCCTACAGTATTATGAGGCCTGATAGGCAGAGGCAAGAGATCTTCAAGACTGAATAAAATTGTTGTCTGCAAAGGTGATTAATCAAGTGAACAATCTGACATCCTTTGTCTGAAAGCCAGAGTGTTTGGACCATTGTATTATACAAATCTGTCATGCTCTTAATATCTACATAGAGAAAATATCCTTGGGAGGTACACACTCTAAAATGCTCCAGATTTATAATAAGGCAACAAAAAGCTTTGAGATAAAAAGGTTGTCTCAGATAAAACATTTGGGAATCCAGACATCCTCATTCAGGAGGACAAAAAGTTTCTTCAGATGCTGGAAAAAAGGAAGAGATACAACCCGCTCACATGAGAGATATCATCAGCTGGGCTACAGCAGAGTAACTAACTCTGGAGCTAAAGACAGTAGTCTGTTTAACAGAGGCACTGAAGAAAAGAATGTACATGTTGTCTGCAAGGGAACAGAACAACAAATGCTGGTAAGCAAGACTGATTTAAATGAGTACAAGTCTTGCTGCCATTTCCTGATTTTCTTTCTTCACAAAACACAGGTTTCAGCAATGCAGATGAAACTTCTCCTGTCTTGGAGTTTCCCAAGTTCACTAGAAACCAAAGCAAATTGGGACTGCATCTGTGTGAACCTTTACAAACTGGTCTTTGGTGATGTAAAACCAACTGTCAGGCTGAGGTAATGTCAATCATCACAAGAACTAAAAAGGAGAAGGAAAAGTTTTCCTCTAACACAGAGATAAAGAGATATTACTATCCATTCAGAAGAAGCTGTGGTGAGGTAGAGAAAGATTTGTATGAGCTGTCTTATGTTTATTAAGTTGTTTTGTTCATACACAAACCTAGGGTATACCACAGTGAGGGTCTGAGTTTAATAAGTTGTGGAGGGAGGAACAGACTGCCAAATTCAAACATACTGGCAATCGGTTGATTTACTACTGGGTAAATATGGCTGCTTCCACACTGAAGTAGCTGAGAAGTAGCTCATCCTTTTTCCAGTACGGGAGGACCTAGCTCAGTTTGTCTCGATTGTACTGACAGATAGACAACAGTACATAGCCTTTCCACCACGACAGAACTCCTAATGAGGGATAAGCTGTTATCTGCAATAAGTTAACATGTTCCCTTAGAAACATCTTCCCCAACATCTAAGTAGTTACTGATCCACAGGTACTAATTAGAAAAAGTAGGCATTGTGCCACACTTCTAACCTGTAACCTGTCACCTGAAGTATGCTGCAGTCCCAACACTTCCTGGAAACATCTTTATTATCCCTTAGTAGTATGGACTTCATTGTCCATGGCACAGACATTTCTAAGTTCCTTGCAATTTTAACAGGTTACTCAGTTCGAACCTAAATACCTATCTGGAAGTCTCCTTACCTCGATTGTGCTGCAAGAGGACAATAGTGGGATTGACGATTGTGGTAGAGGGATAGGCAGAAGATGACTTGTTGATTGATGTGAAGGAAGTTGGATAGTCAGTGCCACTGCTAGGCTGGGTCACGTCATTTAGTGCAGGACCTGGGTCCTGAAAAGGAGAGCAATACATTATCATCAGCATGCAGGAAAGCTGCAGCACTGGGAAAATCTGGGAATAAAAAACACCATTTGAGACTGAATGAGAAGCATAATCATAGCAATTTTTAGTAAAAAGGCATAAGCATGAGCATGACCTTGCTCCATGTATGTACTCTGCTTCTTGTTAATGCAATTAGTTTGCTAAGGCAGTTGTATAATTCTTTGGTGTTGGGTTTCATGACTCCAACCCCAAAAGGAGGCGCTAAATTAATCCGGCAGGCTCTCTAGAGCAAACACAGGGTGCCAGAAACAAGCAGCTCTAGTTGTAAGAAAAGAGGCAGACATCCTTCCCTGATACATACACACACA